ATGTTGTAACATACTCAAAAGTAACAATGTGTCTACGAAATAATCACAAAAATTTAATAGCTTTCTAGATAAAATACCCTGACATTATAAAACTAGAAAAGGCCTCAACACTTACGAGAAGTGAAGTATGCAGCATAAGCTATGCGACTAAGGCTTTGTATTCCTTTCAAAAATGTACATATCAACTGACAGCAGCTTTTAATCACCCGTAATTCTAAAGCAGTAAATAGTTTAGCTGCATTTAAGTCACACACAATGATTAGCTACTGTGCGGATGTCATTTTCGGATGAATGCACTAATATTTATCACCTGTGGCATTACTGTAGGAAGAAATAGTAGTTTATTCATTTTTTTAAAAGTTTTGTATTCATATTTTGCTTCATAAAAAGCAAATGGCTACTTTCTTTTTCTGTCTACTGCAATTTAACCACGAAATATTTCACCCTTTGTGACTATTAATCCACATGGATTTTGTCAGGTAAATGTACTTTCTGGAAAAAACTTACACAACTCATACCAAACAGTGTTACAAAATCCGAGTATCTGTGGGTATAATTATCCTTCTTTAATGGTTAGTTAGTCTTAACATCATTAAAAAAAAACATTTTACTCAGAGCTTCAATCTGCAATAAATGCAGATAGTGCAGCTTCTAAGGCAGTTAAGTAAAAATGAAAATGTGTCGACCAAAAGACAATTGAAAGCACAAAGCCAATTGTTTTGGACATAGTAAAGTTATGTAATTAGGTCGAAACTCACACCAAGATCACATTTATGACCTACACTGTTAATGATCAAATCATGTTTCCCCAAGATGTCTCTATGCACAATGCTCCAGTATCTAAGTAAACGCTTTGAAAAACACACTCTTTCTGATAAATCTGTTCAGAATGCTGCTAATTTATATGAAAACCTTAGGCATCCTTATCCTAGTGGAAAAGATGCAAAAAACTGTTGCATTTAAGGGTCGAAATGTATACTTCCAGTCTAATAGTGACTTAATTCATTAGACTGATCTCGTCTTAATCGAAAGCCTCTTAGGAGCCAATTTTCGCGCATTTATTCTATCTAATCTGGAAAGTAGTAATCTAAAACAGCAGGCAAAAATTTCATAACAGTCCATGAATTATATTTTCACTGCACTTGTTAGCAAAGTAAGACTTGTATTGTTTCTCTTAAGCTTATATCAACAAAAAATATTTTCAATTAGGTCTTTGTGAACGGTTCTAAACTAATACAACACATTTCTATATAATACACTAGTTACCAATTTAAAAGTGAGCACTCAGACACAAAGATACGTCAGTACTACAAGAATGATGACTAATCGAGTAAATTTTTGAAAGAGAAACTATTAATGAATGGAAATAATTACAGGAAATCGTGGAATTCAAGACTTCTTGATGCATAATGTATAGTGACAGTGTGATAAAGAAAAATTAGAAGTATAAGTGAACAATTCTGTCAAGTGGTCAGAAATTTAAATAGGAATATTTTAAAGTGAAAAAGTAAAATTAATAAGGTGGCTAAAATCCAAAATCATACTATAATAACTTTAATTTAAGTGATAAATAAAATGGCTGTGAAACTCCTTCAGAGTTATAGTTCAGCTTACTTAGCAGAATCCCGATGTCTGTTATTGTGTACAAACGACGAGCCAGTAAATCCGCAGTACCATTAGAAGGTATACTGCAAGTAAGTCTAAAAGTCATATAAATCTCAACACTTTGATTACTTACTTCAGAGGGACATTAAACATCAGATTAAAAGACTACAATAATTTATCAATTCTTTGACTTCTGGCTCTTGGGTGGGAAATCGACATTGAAGAGCCACTGGTGTTCACCACTGAAGAATCCTAAACAGGGACTCTACAACTGTTCACCACGTCTTAGTTTTGCGCATTTCTCCAGCTTATGTTGGGTTACAGAGAAAAGGTGGGGACATATACATTTTTCAGTCTCTTGTGTTCTTAGTGGAAAATAGGGTTCCATGCTTTGGACTTTCACTTGCGTTGATTTTTATTTCATGGGGTTGGGTTGCTGGCCTCATGCCCAACTTTCTCTCTTTCCCCAGGAGTGCATCAGTCGAGAACCGAACCACGGACCACGAGTGTGTTAGGCTAGCATTCTACCGTTGAACCACCGATGTTAATATATATATATATATATGTACTAAGTCACTTTGATTTTAAATAATCTTTTTATCAACATCTGTTTGTTCAAACATAGTTTTCCTAAATAATTCCATTTAAGCGCTTTGGTGTATTTATTTGATAAAGCGAAAAGTTACACGGTTTTTTATTTACCGTATGATGGTTCTGACACACTGATATAAATAAAGACAATTTTTGTACTTGAGACGTCATCTGGTAAATAAAACCATGTCACAATCCGCTTTATCATGTGAAAGTTGAAATTACATCTAACCACAAAGGCCAAGTTCACCTCGATCATCAGTTAAATAACCGTCCCTAAAGATAAACAGTTTACACAGTTATTAAAAACGATTTTGGTATCATTTAGCAGCGGTTATCATAACTAACTTAGAAATAGAATTAGGGTACTGTGGTAGATTGTAATTCCTATAAGAATGTCTAAAAAAATCAATATTGCACGTAAGAGAAACTGTACAAAACGTTAGAAATGAACAGAACTATATAAAGCGACAAAGAAACGCATACGAATGCCTTGATATGATTGTGAGCAATTAGCGGATTAAACGTTATCCATTAAATAACATTTTACCGCTTTGTATGAAATCACATAAACTTATTAAATAGAGACATTAAAATAAAGTCTTCTCAGCTTACAACAAATAAGTAGCCGATCTACAATTTCACAATGTACAGTAATACACCCATCCGAGAATTTTTCTCCTTAATCTTACATTTTAAAACACATGTGGCCAAGTTTTCGCTAAACCAATATTAAAAAACACAAACGGTGAAAATTTCGCCGCCTATGTGATCACGAAATTTAGTCTTATTGTTTAATTAGAAATTAGTATGCCCATTAGGTCCAATTTTATGTTTTGGAAAAATCATGTTACTAGCTGTTAATTCTTTGAATATCTTTATTTTTGTCCAAACGTTCAATGATCTGCATTTCGTTTAAATCACATGAGTTAATAAACAACCATTAGATTTCACTCTCACGATATCAACAAAATTCATCCTCCTTAATGTAAAAACAGAACATTCACCAGGCTGGTCTTCACAGTAGGACTATCTGTTTGTTTATTCATGTTGTTATACAATTGATTAGCTAATTTCATTCCCAGTATAGTAAATATTCTACTGTGTAGTCCTTTAGTAAACATGCACACACACACAAAGGAAAGAAAATTTGTGAACCTTGTGCATAAGGAATTTCGATAGCTGCACCTGCCAAACTAATAATAATCAAACAAACATAATAATAACTAGGTTCCCAAGAAGTTATGCTTACTTAAAAACATAGCGAAAAATAAACAACCTTATGAGAAGCTTAAATAAACTGGCTTATAAAAAATTCATCATTTAAGTGCCCAGTTCTAACTAGACTAATGATTTCACAACCGAAAGGTTTCAGTCGAAAAATAGCATTATTCCCCTTATTTTTTTTACTTTAAGATGCTACAGTAGAATTGAGTGTATTTTTAGTTGTTTGTTTATTTTGTAGTAAAATGTCTTAATCGTACAAACATCTTTGACCTGTTAATGTTAGTGATATTAGCCTGGATCTGAAAGAAAAACGTTTAACGAACAGGTGTAACATTTTAATCAAGAATGTTGGTAGACCAACTAACTGAATGAAAGCCGCAAAAAGTTTAGGACGCATTTTAAAAACTCCAAGTAGTCATCGTCGAAGTTGAAATGTGAGAAATAAATAAAAGAGCTTGCCTCACAGCACGAAACAGTTGCAGTGAACAAAATACTCCATTGTAAATGACTGCACTTACTACGTCATCATAGACACTAAAAGGTTAGAAGGAATCCCAGGATGTGATCTGCTTAAGTTTTCGCTAAGTCAACTATGTGAAAATTATTTTTGTAACAAGTTCATCATGGTCTAGAAGTTCCAGTCAAATATCTTCAGTTTTCACAGTCATCAGTCTCCATACTACTTATAATACCTTCCAAAGTTTTATGAAATGGCCAAGATTACATATGGACGAGTGTTACAATGAGTCGCCATCTCTCTTGGCGAATTCATTACGATTCGGGATATAGAAGGTGTGATCTGAGGATTGATGATAAAACCTAGCTGCCCAAACCTCGGCAAGTGGAATTAGACTTTAATATATGACGTACTGCTTGAAAATCGAGTGCCGGATCCGAAGGCGCATATAATAAGGACAGTTATTCAAGTAAAGTCAAAATTCAAAACTTATGATCGTAATGATAAAACTTGCATTTCACTGGCAACTACCAATTAAAACATGAGCATGCAAAGTTACACACTAGAAATCACTTCGTAAAAACTTATTGTTTGAGCTATGTGACTAAGGTAATTGTGGAATTTGGGCACTGTAGTACAATTAGAAAAGTTTGTCTTATATAACACACAGTGACATATTATTGATAACTGCATGACGTTGATACAATTATGAGCAATAAATTATGCTCAAAACGTAATCCAGCAATTGATACTGTATCAGCGTTGTATAAAACAAACTCATCTGAAATAGAACTCTATGATGGCCATCTGGAAGTGTGTTCAACCGGAAAAGTGGTGAATTTATCTTGAAATTTTAGAAGAACAGGAAACCTGTAGGTGTTTAATGACTCAAATGACACTCAAAGATATTAAGAACAAAAATGAGGAATTTTGACAATCAAAAACCGATACCAGAGATAAATCAATGGCAATTACAAAAGTAAACTACTTATTCTGGAAAACGATACTTAAACTGTTGTAGCGCACCTATAGGATTAAAAACTTAAAGTGTGGAACCGACTGCGTCATTAAAAGTAATTTGGATTAAATAAATGAGAATGTTAATTTAAAATAATCTTACTTTCAACTTTGAGTCTTCCCGGTTGAGCAGTGATTGAAACTTTCAATCGGCCTCTTCTTTCAGTATGGTCCATACCGCATAGCCGTGGGGCACGAGAAGTACATCGCTTGTGAACATTCAGATCACAGTCTGTGAAGTGAAACAGAAGGGGTTTTTTCGTTCGTACAAAACTCTGACAAAATTAAGGTTAATATTGTATGAAAAACTGCCTTAACAATACAAACTTAGTCAAAAGAGTGAATCACTCACTTTGCGAGGGCATCTAGAATGAAACTTATTTAACATGCATAAAAAGATATTTGAGGGTGAGTTGAAATTCTAAAATGTAGGTAGTTTTCTTGCATTTCACTTTCAGATACACAAAGTCAACAGGTCTTACTATTCAAAGAGCACAGAAATGTTTCAAAATTACAGAATTTCGGTATTAATTAGAAGATTATCGTAACAGGGAATGCTTCAGGCAGTGAATTCTATCTGCTTCTCCACTTAACTGTCAGTTAACAATATTTGATGACTGTCAGCAATCAGTTTTCAACACATTATTTGTATTTATTTAATATTACGCTTAGCTTTGTCAGTGGAAAATGGGAATATTAGGTCAGGATAAGCCGATCAAAAGGTACTATTGTGCACTTAAATAAGATTGATTGTTGAAAAATATCATCACGTAGCTATTCGCAAAACTATCTTACAATTGATGTTCCGATATATTTATGCAAGTCACATTACATTCAAGTGGTGATTCAAAATTCTAGCAGATTAACCACTGTAGAAACAACCCGATTTGAAGGCTTTGTAAAAAATTTTATCAAATGGTCACCACAAACCTTTAAAACTACATTCAAATAAGCTCAGTTTTTAATCCAGAGGAATTGCATTTCATAATGAAATATACGAATTCACTTCAACAAAAAACTGAGTAAGTGTTAGACCTAGCTCAAAAAACGTATTTAAATCCTTCATATATTACTGGAGACCGCATAATCAACACAAACAACTAGGTACTGGTGTTGAATTTAGGAACAATCCAGCAATTCAACCTCTTTATCACGGAATTGCTCAATGACCAGCAGAGATACTGGGACCAGTAGGGAGGCAAGTATCTAAGTTTTCCACTGATGATACATTTAAACTTACTGAAAGTAATTAAGATTTTAATGTCTCAGATAAAGTCATGTTCTCATCAGGTGTTACTTCGCTATTTACTGATGTACCTCTCATGGAAACTGTTTGCTATACATGTGATTATATTGATGCACATAGTTTAGAAATAGGGTTGCCGACAACCTATCTCAAAAAACTTTTATTGATATACACTTTGAATGTTCAGTTCACCTTCAGTAATGAGATCTTCAGACAGAGATGGCATTGCCATGGGATCGCCAATGGTTACATTGCTGGCTGACTGTTTTACGGTCAAGCTTGAAAACCATCGATCACTTTGACATTTATAAAAGATACCTAGACCACACTTTCGTTATCTGCGATAAGAACGTAATTCTTGATGATGTCTTGATTGCATTCAGCCAATGCCATACCTCTTTGCAATTCACCATAGAAAAGGAATCTGAACCAATCATTCCCTTTCTTGATATGTGCCTTAGTGGAGGCAATGACGGATCTCACAAAAGATCCACCCACCGGGAACGTACATGGAAAGGACAACTAACTATGCATGTACAGTCCCTACTTCTGCCTTGGCCGTAGGGGGATATTTATTTATTTATTTTTTATTTGTTTTGTTTATTTAGTTATTCTATGTACCTTTTCGTCATCAATACGATTATTATTATCATTACTATTCTCACGTTGAATTGTTTCCAATTGTCCCACTTGTCATTCTGAATCCAATTTTTTCTTACAATACTGAATTCTATTTTATCAAATTTCACACCATGTTATGTAACGTTTTATATCAGCCTACAAACCCCATAACTATACACTCCTTTTCAACATCTATACATTTTATGAATTATTATAAATATGACATTAATTGTCTTGCCACTTGACATTTAATTATGATTATAGCCATAAATATTTTAATTGCATTTCATACAATTATCATTTCATGTATTCACACCTTTGATTCAATTCCCTTACAGGATATAATTTCTTTATTAAAAAAATCAACTAAGTGTGATTGTACAGTAAGACAAATCCGCTGAAAAGTCTATTTTCTGAATATTGTAATTTTAATGTGACAAAAGGAATTTTTAAATTATTAAATTCAATCTGATACAAAAACTAGAATTTTGGACACTGTCCTACCATAACTTGTGCCGCCGTAAATTATTAGACAGGCTGATACTACATAATAATTACACCTGGACTATGTTGCTTAATAGTATGCACACCTGTTCACCAAGGAATACACAGATTATTGGAATTCTCGCGCTGAAGCTCTTTGTAATTCTGACGTCTGATGCTCATTTTTCACCAGTGACTTACTAAATTTCCCATTTCGAACGTATTAAATAATACCTAATTTTTAGCCATCCAATAATAATATATTTCGTTCTCAGTGCATGAGATTTAGATGTAAAGAGAACATATATGAGCACTTTGATGCATAAAAAACAGAAATATTACTTTCAGAAGGTACAAACGGAAAGCATGGTTGTCAATACACAAAAGGATTAAATAGAAGTTGTGGTACTTACTTTTACACTTATAACCTTGGTGAATCAATCCGTAGAGGAGGGAACCACAGTGATCACAAAATGTAGGGCTAGTATAGGAATACAGCACGAAATCATGTTTCTTTTCAAACTAAACCGAATGCATTAAGGAAACCATATCAGACATACGTCAGTATCTGGCCCAGTATCTGCACCAGGGCACTGGAAAGTAACCAGTTGGTAGCACCTTTTGTGAACAGTAAACAAACAAGCTTTGCACTGAACGCCTTGAATCCCTAATCCCCTAAATATTTTATATTATTACGCATGTTTATTGCTGAATACCATATGAAGTCTTTGCAATGACCGCAAAAAGTGAATTGCTTCAGAAAACGAGCAGCAAACTCATGGCCTTTAACATGAGAAACATTTTTCTCTCTTAATGCACCTCGGCGTGCACAACGTACAGGATTCTGGGCTGATGTATGGCAACTAACTGCCAGTCTATTTGTTTCTATAGTAGATGCGGAATGAGATGACATTTGACAAAAATTCAAAACCGTTCCTATTTATTAACCTTTAGATTACTGTAGTAAAACGTTCATAACGTTGACCTTACAGCCGTTCATTGCTTAGTTCAGGGAGCTAATATATTCTGAATCTTCTGGTAAAATTTCAAGTGACTTTTCGATTGTTCTTAATTTTATTATTATGAGGCTTTGAAAGTCAAATTTAGTGGGACCCTATCTCAACATTTTATTTATTTTTTATTTTGATTTACAGCTTGATTCCACACCGTATTTTCAGTACAAGTATGGAATTTTCAGCATGGATATCGGTAGCCCAAATTCAGGCCGACCATAGATATCGGGTGTGCGCCGGCAGGGGATCGAACCCCGGACCATGTGCATGGTCGGCGAGAGTCCTAACCACTGTGCCACCGACGCACTTATGTTTAATGAGCTTTTATGAAAGACATAAGCTCCTGCATACTAGCTTCTTCATCATTACATTATTGCATCATTCTCCAGTGATAGTAAGGGCTACGGAACAATTACTAATTTTCCTACCTGTGAAAGCGGAAAGCTCCTCCAGACCAAAATAAACATATCCTTTATTTTAGGGATGAATACATGCTCATTCAATGTTAAGGCCTTTTGTACACTGTCCTTAATATGTGACTCATGATATTCAGGTTTACCTCATCCATCATTAACGAAAACATAGAAAAAATTAAGTCGCTGCGCACTAATAACGCAATACAGCAGGCTGTTCGGATGAAGATATGTATGAATTCAAAGAAACTAGAGGAACCATAGGAACTTTCGATTACTTATCTCCTTTGATTAGTTGGCCCTCAACTTTTGGAGCTCAAAAAGAGAGTTGAAGGTAGGCGAGCGGTGGCTGCATTCTACCATGGCCTTTCCCGTCTCAATTATGTATACTTGAAAGAAGGTTAGATAGAAACCCCCCCCCCCATAATTAGTGGAATTTTGTCGTATGTGTAGGATGGCCAGATGGGTAGACAGCTGGATGTGTGTCTAAGGCAAATAGTTATGAAGCACCAATACCCACTTAACCATCTTCGAAACTGATTTCATTTGACACCAACACGCACAGGAGCCGCATACACATAAGCAATAGTAGCTCTATTCCGAACACCATGTTTATGTAAATTTCGTCATTTTTGGGTTGGTTTTATACGCACAATCGACAGTCTACAGGCAAAATAGTAAGCTGCAGTAAACTACTAGACAAAAATATATTCTATGTGTAACATTTTCTAAACCCCATCCCGATGTTTGCCTCCCTTCACCAAGAACCAAGTAGCTCGCTGAAAACCATTTCAAAATTAAGATGAGAAAAGGTTGTCCTTCACGGGCTCGAATATTTTGCTATAAACAAGTTGAACTCTATTGATTTGACGCAGCCAGATGACTTTGAAAGCTACGATTCATAGTGTAGTCGTTATATCGTTAACATTATCTCCACAAAACCCCAGCATTCCTTAAGACAAATGGCACATCACTTGTAGGATCAACAGATTATGAACGGTAATGCAAACTAATTTAACAGTAACATAAGCCCATTTTCTTTTCTGTTCAACTAATATTGCCCAGCAGGGAAGAACGTCTAATTTTTAAACAGTTTTCCAACTGAAGTATTTGAAATAGCTCCTCCATGGGGTTAATTAAATAAATAAATAAATAATAGTATATTCTCATTTTGTACATGAGGGAAACCAGTTTACAGGCATCATCAATATGATAAATTACATATACGATTAGTAAACATATTTAATAATAGTAATTTAATAAAATACATTTTTTCCTACCTGTGTAGGACACACCAATTGTACAGGCATGGATAAGTATTATTTAAATTACATAAATTTGGTTCATGGTAAAATTATAAGGTTGCAGTCATTTTGTCTATGGGAACAATATGATAACTAGTCATTCAATGGAGCACATCAAGAAATATAGAAATATTGTCTTCGCATTAACAAAAAAAACCCAAGTATGTTTTGGATGGATTACAAATCCTTGGGAAAAAAATAAAGCTTGAAGTAATTCCTCCATATAACTTAGGTGTCTACGGCATCGAGTCTTATTCTTGATTTATATCCAAATTTCATAATAATTTAAAATAAGTAATACACTTGTATACTTTTGTCAGCATTTTCTTCGTAACATCACAAGTGAATGGTACTCAAGGTAGACTAATAATAATGACAGTTTATATTTTCTTATAAACGTGTGTTTTCAAGAAATACAAGCTATTTTGCAGACAAGATCAGTCATGTTGTAAGTTACAATCGTGAAGTATTATAAATCAATACTTTTTTATTGGTATAAAGGTATATTTCACAATTGTAATCCAGGTTGCGTCGTTGGTGAAGGCAATGCGCAATTCACGAGGGAATTCTGCATACTGGACGACTATCTTTCCAAGTGTGGCTACAGAATCCGTTACACATGTCCAGGTCATAAATACAATAGGTGGCGAACAAAAGGTGCAGAATTGGTATAACTAGTGCATAACGGACGCCATGCAAGAAGAAAAACACCATCCATCGCAAAAATCGCCTATATGCAATCTTAGCCCACGGAATTTCAACGCAGTGGTTGCGGCCATAGTTATTAGAGGATGAAATTCAGTCTGCCTGTGATAAAAACATAATATCAGAGCCTTGTCAAAATATCACCCCCTCAACTTCTTTCAGTTATTAAATTTTTATTGATGACTGCTGCCAGAAAAACATGGAAATGAATTAATTTTCTTAGATGTGATGCATTAAAGCTACAAGGCTTCTAGTAAGGTAATCACCAAGTATTCGCTTTATGAGTGAATTCGCAGCAAGCGTTATACCCATTTTTTTAATGTAATGTCACGTTTGAGCACTAAGTTTTGTGAAAAACTGAAGCTACCCAAAGCCACAGTAGTTGCACTTGTATTTAATGAAGCTAGAATATCAAGAAACTGTCTAGCAAATTCTGCTCCTCTTAATGCATCAAATTAATACATTTAACCCATAAATAAGCTGTTTTTGTGAATAGCTAACAAGCTTCGGGTACCCTAATGCAATAATTCAGGGTCCTTTAAGTAGATGAAAAACTCCGTTAATGTCTACATGAAACCGGAAACATTTTGCATCGGGTACATTTTTAAGAAGCTCGCAGCATTATGCCACCAAAGCCCACATCCGAAAGCAGAGGAAGGGTCAAGAAAACCAAATTAATCCAATCCACACAATTTACCATAACCTCCTATGGTTAGATCCAATATGTGGGGAACTCCTTCTCTGTATTACTCGGTAATGCGAACTATTTTAAAATTTCTTAAATTTATATTCACTTTTTGTTAAAAAAGGATGATGGAGATACTACAGATTTTATTCATGTTATGTATCATAAAATTTTTTTAATGACTAATGCTGCACTTCTTCTGAAGTCCCCACCTGTCTTCTTGTTTTTTGACAGGTATTACTCGAATTGAGTTTCGCGATCGCATGAGCTATAATCTGGGGATGTTCAGTAAATTGAATTCACATGCCGAAAAATTCGAACAACTCCATCACGAATTATTTTTATCCTTTCAAAAGTGCTCTTATATAACCGCCATTGTCACATAATGATTTTGTACGTGCCGGTATTAGCTAACCTGTTGCGCCTCACAAACTACTAAACTAGTAAAGCAGCCTGTGACGCGTGGTTTGCATTGCACAAACTATGAGTGCCTTTCAATTTTCGAAAGCCCGTGGATCTTTTTATTGTAGGAGACCAAAGAAGTTCTTCCTTTTAATTGAATCTTAGTCGTTTCACTTTTATTGGTCAACTTTATTTGTCTTTGCTTAGTGGATTAGATTGTGGACAACTGAGTTTTCTAAGATCAAGAGAGCTTGGTGCGACTGAATATATCTGTACTGTCTTCATAATATGGTTGGCAGAGACATTTTGAACAGTCGTAAGGCTTATTTTCCCCCTTGTCTAGCTGGGGAGGTGTTAACAGCAACATGGACAGCAACTTAGGTGGGCCGAGCCTAGGGAGTCAGCAGGTAGCCCACTCCAAGTTCAGGTCTGTCAGGAGAGGTGGCCCCAATATAATCGTAATGTGACAGCCATGGGCATTATTCCTGGTAGAAGCTGGCTGGAAACGAGCTCAAAGTCGTTCAAGCAGCCTAACTAATTACTTTTCTATTTTATCAACTGAAATCAAATACCGCCAGTTACATCCTGATGACAAAAAGTTTTGAACCACTGTGTAAAAGTAGATGCCAATAGTCATTCTTCAGCACAAATTTAATTATAACCCACAGCCTCATAATTTATTCCATTACATGACAATGACGTCACAATTTCGTTTATTTAATAACAATATTTACGAATTACGGTTATTCAGACTAAAAGCAATCCAATTTTTCTTCTTATTTCTCAGTACGCACTGTTTCCAAAATAACTTTGAATTTTTAATAATGAAGACTTGTTTACATGATATAATCCCAGGCACCATTATTGTTTGAATTTGTTGAAAACACGCGTAACTTGACTCCGTAGCAGGATACTTTCAATTAGTCATACAGTTTTTATGCTAGAAAATACAAAAACATACTAGAAAAAGGTTCAATCGCTTAAAGATTTCCAGCTGGTTCACAAACACAGAAGATGAGCGAAGACCTGTAAAGTGTGATTCAACTTTTATTGCATAAAATGTGTTGTACTGCAAGCTGTATATGGGGCGTCGTCTTGTTGGTTATGTTTCCAACATTTCTGAAAGTAACCCTTTTTGGGTCATCAAAGTAGAAGGAGTTTTTCTATCGACTGCAATTTTTCAGCAGCTCACAAAACGAGATTCTTTCATGATGACCTGTTTGACTGAATCATTAATTTATGGAACAAAACATATTATGAAGAGTTAGAGGTTTATGTCGTCCTAGCGCATATCTATGGATAATCCCCATCCAGGCATTGATGAAAACAAAACAAGTAGTTCAGAGAAGAGTCTCTTTTCTGTGAATTCATTTTCTTAGCTTTACAATCGCAAATAAATGTGTTATTTTGTATGTATGTGTACATTATGTTTGTCAAACAAAAATACAATTGGTTTTGGTTATTTTAACTAAACAGGTGAACATTGGTAATTGGACTTACGTAGTACAAAAACAGTCAAGAAAATTGGGTGTTTTTAAAATTAGGGCAGTAAAAAAGGTGACGAGGTGGAGGTTGAATAATCACATATGAACATACGAACCGTTCCCGTACTGCGTTGAATCTTAACAATTTGAGAAGGAGCATTCAGATGCTTCAAAACATCACTTGGCTTCTAATCAAGCATCGACCCTTCGACTTCCCCGACTCCCACATATGCTTCTTGGTCTCACTTTACGTCTATTCACTGGCTGAATTATCTTTTTTTGGGGAATCTGTTTGTTTTTATAATCTATCTGTCATTTTTAATGCTATCACTAAAAATGACGATATCCACCCAAAGAAAGATATTCTCACACTTCTGGCCCCCTTTTGGAAATCCGTGAAGGATAGCCCACCCGGTATCACAGACTGCAGTGGGCCCCCACTCCTTTCCTTTTACAGTTTGCCGCCCATGAAACTCTTGCCACCAACCATGGCGTCGTCCGTGGGAAGCTTTGAGCGCAGGCTGATTAGTTTCGTAGCTAGACAGGGAGCGCGACTAAATGGTGTATCCCCTCAAAACTCACACGCTGTTAATAGGTAGACACCTGAAACCATTCCCTACTACTGCCAGTTCTCCCTTATCTCACCGTTCTGACTAATGCACTTATTCATTCACTCATTTGATTGTTGTTCTAATTTTTTGATTTATATTTAATCAAATTTCTCTTTGCGCGTTCTTCTTTCATCTAACATAATACACATAATTACATTTATTATTCCTGCTTATTACTTATTATTATTATCGTTCACTTCGAGCACGCTGGATGACTGACGGGTGGAAGAATCAACTCCATTCACAGCAGTGACACAGTTTTAGCACATACAGTACTAAAAACCACAGGGGACTAATAACCTCACCCACCCCCTTGAAGTCGAGCACAGCTACGATGTTCGAGTGGCAGGACAAACTATGCAGTAATTTACCAGCATCTAATGAGCAGTGAGAAAAAGTCGCTTCGGCTTATATGTGCTCACTAATCTGCGGAACGGGGCAGTTTAGTCACAGCAGTCCCATGGCACTGATACATCGTATACTGATAATGGCGCGTAATCAACCTCTTACCAATCAAATCTCCCAGCAACTACAGAAACAACTGCAAGTAATTAACGATATCACACAGGAAACTACAAATTGTGAACCACTACTTCTACACCAAGATTACACTTTGTGAAAATGCTAACGAAATACTTTAGGAACTTTTGGAAAGTTTTGTAAATCTTGTTTGTTTAAATTGTACGGATCTTTGGAGGTCAATGGAACTGGTTCGCAACAATGGATAGGTGTTGGTTCTTTTTGGTTGTAGAGTCGGATCACTGTCTCAAAGTCAAAACTGTATTCTTGAAAAACAATATTCCTAGAAGATTTGATGATGTAGTAAAAGATAAATTATCCAATTTCTATCTTGGATCATGGATGCGGACACATATAAGTATTTCAGTATTCGTTTTGTTTCACGAGCTAGTGAGTTCTCATTGTTATTTACCAAAAATATCATTCCATTATGTTGTATGCTTCATAGGCGTATCTATATAGAACAAGGTTTTTGTTTCGTATTTCGGTTTCTCTGATTTGTTATTTGTTCGAATTTATGTGAAGTATAAGTTCAAAGGTCTTCTAGTGGCAACCGATAAAACAGGAGTTTGCGACTGGTGTATCAGAATAATTGCAGACTGCGTAGTCGAGTTTATCTGATAAGGTATACTGTTTGTTAGCTTTTTCAATCGATTTCCAAACACTGGATTTCGGCTTCGAATCGTTCTTTTCTTTCTCAATCTTGGGTAGTACCAGCTGTCCTTACAATAAGCTGAATTTTTATCTCGGATGATAAATATCATGGTACCGGAATTCCTACTGGCCAGATGGAGGCATTAAAGTTATGCGAAATTGAATTTTTATTTAACTTATGCAAGGTATTGCATTTTATTTTTGAGTAGGCTAAATGTATTTTTTTGAGACTATGCCATAAACGAAAATAAATCTTTTACAATGGAAAAGCCAGGCAGAACTTGTTTAACCAGTGCATAGTTTAGTCTGATAGGTCGACATTACGTAAAGTTTTCAAATCCTTGCTTCCTAGCTTTATTTATTACAGACCACTACTGGTTTAACCGCTTGTTTCAGGTTCAGATGATAAAGGATAGTAGGCTGTTACAGCACTTTTAAATCACTACAATATGTACCTCTATATAGATTCTATTCATGTTTAAAAGCATTCGCAGATGGGAGCGATACTAAGGAAATCCAGTTGCTTACCACCCTATTTGGAAACGTAAATTCCACCTGGATTTTGTTCGATTGCTCTTTGAGCACGATCTGTGATGAGTCCTTAGAAGTGTTTTAGAAGGAGGATTAAGGTTAAATATGTGAATTCCGAACCATCCAGAAGATACAATAAGCCGAAATTAAGTTACCTTCTGTATGATATTGAGATGTTTGTTTTCTCGTCTTAATACAATGGAAGACAACACATTTATGTCGTTCTATGATCGTGGAGCTTTTTAAACTACTTAATTCTATTGTTTACAGTATCCTGTGAAAGAAGCGTCAGCTGTTCATGTGGATCAAGATGGAATATCACAGGTTTGGTTGGTTGATTTTGATTATTTGTTGCAATAGGACTTTGTTTCAGCCTTACAAAAAATGGACCTTGAAGATTCTTTGGAGGAAGCGCATCTGCTTTTTCAGGCCAACCAACTTCCCCTGTCAACTTTCACATCAGTTGTCTCTGAAGCACCAACTAGATCAGTAAGTTTGATTTTCAAAGCTTTATTTCAGCATTCACTAACTCACTTTAGGCCAGGAACTTCATCGTCTCCTGAAACTTACGACATAGGAACAACCGAGGAATCAGATCTTCCTATCAGTATTGTTCCTAGTCCTCTAACACTCGTTACGGGTTTTCCACCTATGTCTCCAACGGATTCTTGGGGTGAGCCAAATAACAGAGATTCAGCTGATGTCCAGTCAGTCGCGTTGCAGTCTCTCAACCTGGAATCAAGTGTCGAACAAACTGCTTCACAGTTACCAAGTAAAGCTGACCTTCAGGTCTCTTCAGTAGAGTTGGTCCATACTGGAGATGTACCTGTCAAGGAGACTGATGTAAACTTATCAACTCACTCTTCGGTGGTGGTAGAACAATCCTCTTCTATTCTTAGCGAAAATACAAGTTTGAATCACCAGGTAAGTTTTAATAGGTAAATAGTTGCTTTTGCTTAGTTTTTTATTAGACAGGCAGTGAAAATAATTTGAATTAAACTTTTATTTTTCCGTACTTGTGCTTTGGTTTTGCAGTAGCTGCAGTATTCGAATAAATCATGTGCAGGGGTTCGCATAAATTCAAGTAGCTTTACTCTGGTGTGACGGTTGAACAGAGGTATTTGTTACAGGAATTGCTTATTTAGGAACCTGCAGTTTGCAAAATGTATTCGAATTTCACTTCTTTCATTTTCGTTCCATGCCTCCTAAGTCGCTTTATAGTCATCTTCATTTCTCCTGTTAGTGAATTAGTCTTTCACTCGGGTAATGAAGATTCTCTCAGAAGACATCAGCAATGTATTGTCTGCGAGTTTTTTCAGTAACAGATGCCGAACTTATATCAATGGATATAGTGTCAGTTAATAAAGATCAATTGGTCAGAGATATTATCTTCGATGAGAAGTGTTGATGTAGAATTCGATTGGAAAAAGGTTAGTTGTAGTAGTCAGACTATGGTTTTGACACTAAGTACAGTATAAGTTGCTTGATGGATGTCCGTCAAATACTAAGCATCGGTGGTTGAAGATTCTTAAGGAAATAGTTGGAGAGCGTTAATAAGGTCACAGATGTATGCCATCTTTATCACTCAAATACTAAATATATTCATTTCTCTTCATTAGATTACTCTATTATACGTCTTTTTATAACATATCACCACATGTTGGCATTTCTAAAGTGGTGCAAGTGTGTGCGAAGTTCTACCTTGATTCATAGAATTGGAAGAAAAGTTGTATTGTGTTTTAGGATTCAGTAACCTAGTGTCAGTGCAGGTCACAATTAGTCGTGACGTAGTTAATATTTACATTCGTGTTCACTTATTACAAATGTTTAGTATTTATTTACACATGCCATTATCTGTGAACCTTTTCATCATACCAAATTTACTAGTTTCGTCATTTTTTGAAATACAACAGTCACTTTTTCGGACTTTGATGAATAAATTTAGGCTTCAGGATCTTCAACAAACACATCCCAAGGTCTTACCCGAAGTTGTTTAGTTTTGGATGTACCCACCAAATTTCCTCAACCGTTAGCAGATATACACCAAGTTGATCATAATTCATGGCTCCCAACCGTGAGGACACAATCAGAAAATGTGCATAAAAAGTCAAGTTTTCGATTATGCAGTGGAAGTTCAAGCAGTTTAGATGACGCGGACTATTATGAATCTGTTGATAATAGAAAAGAATTTAATAATGTTTTGCAGTGCAGCTCAAGCTCTGATTCCGAACTAGAATACAAGTTTGATCGGCAGTATTCGATGAAGTACAATAATCTTAAAAGTTCTAAAAGTTTAAAATCTGTTAATACACCTAAATTTTTGTCCACAAAAAGAGTTGTCCATCCAAGAATGGAACATAAAAGGTTCAGATCAGAATACATCAATAGATTTCTGAACAAAGATTCATACATCGCCTCTTCAATCCCATGCGATTCAAACTTATGTAACATGCCCGAGTTAAAAGACAAAGTTCATGAAAAAAACTCATCGTCAACGTGTTCCAGCTCAGTTATCAGCAAAAGATCAGACCGGCATATTCGTGATATTGATGTACTTGAGGTTACTGGAGTTCCTTTTTCGTATGAAGATATTGTATATTCAACAAATGAACAATTTCGTCAACTAAGAGCAACTCCTGGTTTGACCGAAGAACAGGTATGTTACAGTGTTTAAAGATTTCACATATTTGCGAATTCTATTACTTTGAAGTTTGTAAAGTCGTTATATGTACTAGTCGTCAATAGGTTTGAAAACGTCGCCAACCTTTCACTTTTGACCAATTTCTTTATGGACTCCTTTGTTTCTTAATTGGAATAAACCCTTAATCTTGTGTGCACCTCAGCGTTTTGATTGTTTAGTTTCACCTAGTGGTAGTATTAATAAGCATTGACAAATTAAGAATAAATTACAGGTAGCTCAAATGTGTGGACTTTGTTGGGTTTCCCTTCTTCAAGTTGATCTGTTTTACACCATGCGAATACATTGTTAGATCACCCAGTATTGTGATCGTTACATGATTTAACCTAATCAAACATTGGATAAAAAGTGATTTTCACTAAAGCTTCAATTGAGCTAATGTCATTTCAAATCCTCGATCTTGATGTGAAGAGATTTATGTAAACTTTGGAAATGCAATCAGTGTATTCAGTACAATCGTCAACATCCACATAGGCTAACAAGAAGGGTTGGAAGTAAAAATGGGTGCTTGAAAACACCCATTGATACAAACTTCCTTTTCGAAATCTTATGAACAGTTATATTTCGGAGGCAGATATCTCTATCAAACAGTTTATAACATGAATTGGTGAACAAGACACAGAACAGTTCGTACAATAGATTACGCATTTGTGACACGCACTGAGTTCATGAACTAGCTAGCTACATTTATTTATTGAAACAATTTGGTACCCAATTGGCACCCAGAGATGCATCATATAAAAAACAATGAAACACGTTATGTATATAAGGTGAAACAGGACCAAAAAACAAACAGGAATATTAATCAAAGGTATTCAATGCGAGCGTATTACTTCATGTTACTTTCAGAAAGAGAGAAAATGAAGAAATTCCACGATGTTCACTACAAATAGCAATTTTCGACGTTAACAGGTAAAGTCTTGTGCTGCTTCGAATTAAATCTTGCAAACCACAAAGGGAGTATTGATGTATATCCCACAGCATCACCTCTTTTTTCCACCCAGCAATATGTTGACCATATGAGAGCATTTGAGCTGAATATCTAGCCTTGAGTTGAGCCCATTTCAGTAGTTCACTACAATATCACGTACTACCAGTTTCCTTACGTTTATGATCACTGAATCGTGAGATCAATCCGGCACACAATAAAGCATGATACCAATCCACACAAGTATTCCAGAATGAACAGCCGTCATATGTGAACCTACTCCACCGATAGCTGATAGCAATGTCATCTATTTGAGTCCAGACCTGAGTGACAGGGAGAGGACTCCAGGTAAAAAGACGACGATGGCTGTGACGGAATTTGATGATGGCCGGAAGTAGGTTGTGGTCTACACGAAGCTAGAGGAGATGGTATCTATATCCGTTAGTCTCGCATTCGGAAGCTCGCTCAACTGTGATAGCATAACTCATCCTTAGTTGCACCTTGGCTGCAGTCTGTCGCCACATTGGAAGAGATTATGAATTAACAACGTTTCTCTGGCTAGTCGCTTCTTACTCTATTATAACTTCCTAACCTCATAACACGTAAACGATTGTTAGCGGGGATCCAGTCGGGTAATGCAGCTTCGGCTCTAGCAATTAGTGCGATACCACCGACACTAGTTCATATGGCATTGGTCATCTCTAGGGTACACGTGATATTTGACTATCGACCAAAAGATGTGTTCTCTGTACCCTTCATTATGACTGTGAGACATGACCATAGGCAGAATACTTGAAGAGACTAGCTATCTTTGGCCGTAGATGTTTGCGTTCTGTCTCCCGTGTTAAGTAGTATAATGTAGTGAGTGACTAATAATGGGGCCAGGCGTAGAGTGTTAAGGCGGAAAAATCAGTCGGTGCGACTGTGGAGCTGTCCTTGAGACGCCAATAACCGTTGACTGGAAACTATTGTTGTCTTAGCTCAAAGTCGTCCTCAGTGGCGCACACACATTCACTCTTTATGAGCGTGTTGACCACTTCACTTATTTGGGAAGTTGCATCAGCCCCAACGGGTTGTCCGCTGACGAAATCTCAGAACGGATACAGAAGGCTCATTTCGCATATGCCAGTTTAAGCCGTCTCTGGCGTAGACGTGGTATCCAGCTATCGACCAAAGGACGTGTGTACTGCTCTTCAGTCCGTTCCGTCCTCCTTTATGACTGTTAGACCTGGCCATTGAGAGTGGAAGACATGAAAAGGCTAGTTGTCTTTGACCGTGTGTGCCTGCGTTCTGTCTCCCGTGTGAAATGGCATATTAGAGTGAGCAATATTGAGGTTAGGCATCGGTCGAGTGCTAGGTAAGGAGGGGAAATCAATCGACGAGGCTGTGAAGTTGCATCGACTGAGATGGTTAGGGCATGTGTTATGCGTGCCTAGTCATCGCCTTCCTCGACGGGCAATGCTAGCTGACATAGGGTCAGGTTGGAAAAGAGCTAGCGGTGGTCAAACCAAAACATGGTGTCATCAGTCAATGAAATCCACAACAGTTAGTTTAGGCCACGTAGGAAGATGTAGACTTCCTGGTTAGGGTCCCCGGGGGTGGTGGTAAACACCAATGGCTGAAGACAATTGGTGATATGGCTCAAAATCGTTCTCAATGACTGGCGCAGATGCATTCACTCCTTGTGACTTATAATACCGAATGAGACCATATTGTTCTTCGATATTACTATTCTCTTTGCCTCATATCTCTGTTTACTGTCTGTATTTTGCGTTTCTTCTCTGACTTAGTGTGCTGAGTGAAGTGTGGCAACTCGAACTGCTGCACATCGGTGCAAAGTTCCATGTTGAAACCAGTCAATCATTATTCTCTACATACTTATTCTTTCTCCTGTACATTTCACTGCAGTATGGTTCCTTTGAATAATTTGATTTATCTCTACCTTTGTGTGGTATATACGGAGCGTGAAAACTTGAACTGCTGCTCTTCTGTGCAAGCTTCTACGTTAAAAATTCAGTGATTCTCAGATAAAGGCTGAATTTGATTTCTATGCTACCCGTTTCGAAAAGCACACGAAGCCTCTCATGCTACAGGCTCATTCGATAAGCGTATGTGGTACATGGTATTCGAATTCGGAGATCGGGAGGATACTCAAAGCATGTTACTGGGTGCTGTGTGCTGGCTCTTGTGATGCGGTATACAATGCTTTGTGAGGTCCAATCAAGACCTGTCTATTATCCTTTATGTATCACTGTGTCAGCCACAAAATTTTGTTCCAGAACTGTCATGTTAAATATCACACTGGATACGGACTGAAGAGAACTAACTGGCTATTTGAAAGGTTATGAGTAGACTGAAATTTTGAAACAAGACTAGTACGCCTGACGAAATTAAGGATACTAAAACACGTGAAGGTAGTTAAAGTAAAACAAATGATTTAAATATAGAAGTGGAATAACTATAGAATTAAGTTGCTGAATATATGATTTTGAAGAAGTGACTTATGCATGCACGTAGACCTCTCCATTGGTTGTTGTTCCATGAGTTGTGCGATAACTGAGATACTGCCCGGATCTCTAGGTAGTCATAGGTGGTTGTCTCAAGGAACCATCCTTCGGTCTCTGATTTAGTATCTGATCTACAAGGCAGCAGAACTGCGATCCCATGGTTCGCAGTGACAGAAACAGGTTCGAATGCTACTTGATACTTCCGCATACTAGAGCTCATAGTTTTTGGAATCAGGGTTTTCCAACTTCCTGAGGTGATCCTTTATGTCCACAAGCCCACTTATAAGCACCTTTAGCCTCTCACTTTTCCGAGAACAGCCCCCTCCACGTAAAGGCAGTGAATACGAGTTGCCTGGCAGACTATGGTTTGTAAAGGAAACAGTGGTGACACAAGTTAAAGCTGTATGCTTTGAAAGGAAATTACACTATGAGTATCTGTGCTCTAAATGTTGTTTGCTTATCCTATGGCAGAGTGCTGATCACTTTACTCTACCTAAGATCTCAGTGACAAAAGAAAATCAAATGGAAAAATAAGGAGATGAACCATAAATAGATAGTTAAAGTAAAAATAATAAGACTAGTTAATTTTAAAGAGAAACTAAGTATAGAACTGCTGAAAGTAATTTCAAATTTTACCGTGGGAGTTTCGATCTCTAGCACTTTTGAAGCTGCCTAAAAGTCAGTGGACACCCTAGACGTTTTATAATTCGGCTAATCATCAGTGCTGGGAATTTGAAACTGCGACGTCAATTCTAAATAATCGCTTTTTGTCCTTTCCTTTGTCAATATCGGACAAATTTTTATACATAATTTCTTTCATATAACAGTATGCGGGGTCGTCAAGCGAGTTCATTGATATTACTGACGCTTAATAATATGCATCATTTTTCTTGTTACGAATTAAGTTCTTTAATAAATAGTTCATTCATTTCTTTTCTACATTCAGTTAACAGCTATGTCAGATGCACGTAGACGAGCTACTAACCGTCAAGCAGCTGAACGGTGTCGACGCTCCAAAGTTGCTGTTCGAGATGAATTAGCAGAGCGCTTGGCTGAACTTCGCTTACAAAGACAGGCACTCAACAAGCGTTTGATCAAGGCTCGTCAACGCAGACAAGAAGCAAGGTAACGTATACAATATTCGGAAATTTTAAATCTTGTTACTTCCTGCTACCATTTCTTTCCTCAGTTAGTTAATATTAGTTTGTACTAAGTGGAGTTCCTCATCCGTTAATGTGTACATTCAGACAGATATGTGCTTTGCCTACCTTTATCCTCACTTATATAAAGCCATCTGTTCCAGTTAATGAAAACATCTACTTGCATCCTGTAAATTTCTTATAATTTAATGTAAATATGCCAAGTATTAGCTACGCAGAAGCTCGCTAGAGGAAAGTTTAACTTGTGATATTATACCTCAAATAATTGTTTCATTGTGAACAAATATATAGAGTATTACTGTACACTAATTTTTGGAGGTTAACAATTTTTATAACTTAGCGAAGAATCTGTAGTATGTTGTTATCACCGTACTCTTGTATAAACTATCATACCTCAGTATATGCGTGGATTATAATATGTGTTCATTATATATTCATACTTCATGTTGAACTATGTTTTGGTCGTTTGTGTAAATATGTGTGTATGTTCAGTAAGATTCAGTCACCGGTTCGTCTTGTTGTAGGACGACTGTTCTGTTTATTATCAGAGATATTAATACATATTCCTTCATCGAAACAGCAGAAATTGAATGGAAATGTAATATACATTTCTCTTACTATCGTTGTGCATCATTTAGCATAAATGATGTGATACGTGGTTGCTTTGTTAGTGAAACTGATCTGCTTACAGAAAGAGTTATCATAGCCGAATTTCCAGCTCATTATCGAATGGTGATGGCTTCTTCGGACAAGGTACAAATTTGTTGTTTTTCCTACGTTATCTGTGAACCAGAGATTCTACTTTAACCTAGATTAAAGGTCATGTCTTCGGATTTTATTCTCATATACTGTCTAGTCAGAGTGTACTGTCTGCGTCGGTAGCACAGTGGTTAGGAATCTCGCCGACCATGAACATGGTCCGGGGTTCGACTCCCTGCCGACGCACATCTGATATCTATGATCGGCCTGCAGAATTTGGGCTACCGATATCATATGCTGAAAATTCCATCCTAGTACCAAAAATACGGTGTGGAATCAAGCTATAATCAAAAAAATACTTTACACATCTTAAACTTGTAAAAGCCATGTAAGGTAAGCATATAATTAGCTGTAATTCCTATGACTGCCTTTTCTCTGGAGAAATAATTCTTTACCTTTTCAATTTGTCTCCAATGTCTTCTCAGTGTGAGAAGTTCAGTCCATTGACCAACCATGTGTTGTCGTACATTGAAGTGTTAGTAGGATGAACACCAATCTAATGTTTTAATCGCATAAAAATTTTGTTAATCCAACCGAGTATTCCGTATTTTAGTCTAGTTTTTTGTCTTGAGTATTTTTATTTGAGTGGTTTTCACTGTAATCTGCTTAATGTGTACGAACATTCTAATATAAACAGATGTTTTTGGCTTTAACTTCAGTAACTACATTTTCGCTTCAGATATATGAACTACTCATGAGTAGTGTAAGTAGCAAAACGAAAGGAATGGAATTGAGAAGTCATTAAACCGACATATATGTTTATCTGTTAAGTTCCCTTGTTTTCAAATAGACATTCCATTGCATATTTACACAGATGTGGAAATGTATGGAAATAGTAGTTCTTTTAAGTTATCTGAGTGATTATTGTCCAATAAGGTGCTTTTCGTCTGACAAATGCCTTTATTTAACAGGAAATCAATTTGGAAAGTCGCCTGCTTGACTAACCGAGTCCTATGTTCAGGAAAGAGGTTAGGTTAGGCATAGAGCTGGCAGCTCTGCCATGTAAAAAACCAACTCAAACTTAAATAAAACTTCAAAGCTAAAAAAATAGACCTACCCTTCGGAAGCGGGACGGCATGATGCAAGCGTTTGAAAACTTTTGAGAAACCAGTTGCTCTATGTGTAAGCATAAAAACGTGAAAAAATCCCCACCATGCTAGGGGTTAGAAGGTCTGCTAAAGGTACAAAAGAAATGAGAACATATTCTACAGCAGTCTTAGGAATCTGTGACAGCAAAGGGAATCGAAGTGGATTCTCTAAATTATTAACCTGAGAGTCATCCACTCCAGTCGCTCAGATGACAACCATGAACTCACTGAGAATGTAGTCATCATGATGCTACCAATGGCATCAACGGCTCTCTTGCGATGACAACCACTCTCTTCAGGGATCATAACAGTAATATTCAACTCCAAATCAAGTGAATTCACAATTTTACAATGCTACGCACCTACAAACAAAGCAGAGCCAATGCAGTAGGAAGAGGATTTCTAAAGACAACAAACTACAGGCAGTAGTGGACAACAACTCAAGGTGGCAACATCGAAATTCTAATGGCTGACAACACATGAAAAGTATTCTTCATGTGTTGAGCGGCAATTGGTTAAATGAATAAGAATGGAGACCTCTTTGCAGACTTCTTCTCCTTCAATGATTTGGTGACTGATGGCAACAACACCAGAACATACAAAGGGCAACTTTATCTCATCTTACTAGAAACGAAATCGAGAAGATGTAGGCTCAGACCACTCTCTATTACTAGTACTGAAAACCTTCAAGATAAAGTTGAAGACCTTCAAAGAAGCTGGAGATAGTCCACATCTCAAACTGAAGCGCGAAACCACAAATACACCACTGTAGTCATCAGAAAACATCAATGATGAAACCTGCACAGAGGGAAACCTGTATAGCCCTCTCAGTGAGGAAGTATAGGCAAGGTAGTGCTCTCTACGAATATCTGAAAGCTGACAAAGGAGAGCAGAGTGGTAAGTTAAAAAATGGACTAATGTAGACATGGAAGACGAACGGATAATCCGAGTTTAATCTACCTTACATTGAATAAAGGAGTGAAGTGTGTTAGGAAAGGGAAAAGACGCCTTAGCGAGACAGTGGCAATTGAAGCAGAACAGGCTGCAGGTAAGAGGGGCCTCAGGACACTATACCATACAACAACGTCTCTTCCTGGAAAGAGATCAACACAGATGAAGCCAGTGAAAAATGGTAGAGGAAAGCTGGTTACTAAAGCTGTGAAACAGTGGAAGCAGTGGGCTGTTCATTTTAAAGGACTCTTAAATCGACCACCATTTACAAAGAGACTAGAAATACCATCGACAGGTACAGAACTAATAGAAAACCAACCCTGACAGAATTCCACCAGAAGTACTGATACGTCCACGTCACTATTGCAGTAGGTGTGTAAGGGCAATTTTAAGAAAGTGTTCTAATCAGGACAACTTAAGCCAATGCAAGAACCGGCGCAGAAACATGCTCCAGGTAAAAGTTACTACAGACAACCAATTGTAATAGTGGTTTGTTGCCTAAGTCCTAAACTCCGTTTGGAATCGAAGGAATGAATAATAATGGTAAATTTGCAATTGTTCCCAGAAACAACATAACTTGCGGATAGAACTAATTAAATTAATCGTAAAAGGAAAGGAAGATACATCTTTTACGACAAGCAGTTTAACAGCCCGGAAATTTGTCAACAAGAAGCTCGTACACTTTTTCAAAGTGTGACAACTTAAAGTGATGCATTTCTATGCGAAAGTCTACGTGGAACAATCATATGATTGTTGTATTCCCATCACTACTCATAAAGAATATGCAGTATAGATTGGGGATTTGTTTACATTTGTTCCTGCTTTTAATCCTCCCAACACGTCGCCTACCTGACATGGTCACCTTCAATTCTAAGCCCATTTCGTGTGTTACTCAAATTATACCCAAAAGGTTTCTATGTGGGTTGAAACCACAATGAAGTAATACATTTTAATCATAGTTCATTTTTTAATATTTCTCTTGTGCATTGAAGTTTCTGTAGTATTTTGGTTGATTTTCTTGGGTAGGGTCTCTAGTTTTCCTCTTTTCCCGATTTCGAGACTGGTTAGAAAACTAGCAAACTAGTAAACTAGGCCTTTCAACTACAAGTGGAACGGATGAAGATGTCAAAGCCAACCAGGATCGGAAAGGCAAGGTAGACTTTTATCAATCTCAGGGCAGTTTGGAAATGAGCCGTAATTAGCGTAAAGAATAAGATTCGGACATTCAACACAAGTATTAAGCCACTCCTTATATATGGGTCAGATACTTGGTGCGTCACGACGAGCATTTCCACCAGGTTGCAGACTTTTATCAACAGTTGCCTTCATTCCATATTGAAGATCAAATGGCAGGAAAGAATAAGTAACATGGAAATATGGGAGCAAACCAACCGATAACCTACCGCTCAACAAATACTCAGAAGAAAGTGGAGATGGATTAGGCACACACTGAGGAGACTGTCGAGTTACATTGCACACCAGGCCACCTCTCAAGTGAAACCTTAGTGGAGCGTGGTCCGAAAGTGACATGGAGGAGATCGTGTCAAAATGACATGAGGGACTATTGACAATCACAGGCCCAGCTAAAGCAAATCGTAGAAAGTAGGACAATGCGGAGATATACTACCGAAGCTCTATGTTTTACTCGGAACCCAATGGAATAACAGTAATCCTTTAGGCGAACGTACATGGGACAGGAATGGTGTATTTGTTGTAGTATATATGTAGGCATTATCATATTACTGTGTTAAGTTTGTTGGATTATTTGAATTTCGCTACTTATCAAAATCACGTATAAAACCATCGAAAATCAAAGAACAATGAGTGTTGAAGGAGAAGGGTTATAAAAAAAGTCTATTACTATCTGACTAAACCAATAGGCCACGATTTCGAATGCCTGTCACTTGCAACATATGTCATTGGCAGTTAGAGGTTATTATACCTAACCTGGTATCAGAATGCCAGAAATCTAAATTTCATGTGTTCTACTATTATATGATATCAAGTTTTTTACCTATATATACTATTCACAGTAATTTATTTGCTGTTTTTGTCTTCAGGGATACACTTACTGAAGAGCAAAACCGTCTATTGCACATGTTGCATGATTCTAATGGTTGCACGTTGAAACCTTCAGATTGGCGCGTCCACCTAACTGCAGAAGATGAAATCGTTGTTGTATCAGTTGGGCAATAAGTACGGACAAGCTGTTTCCAGCTTCTCAAACTTGATGCATCCGTCTTTCACTGTTCTCATTGTTCGCACGTACACTGTAAATATTCTAAACCTTGTATTTCAATAAGAACACACTTAAAAACTAAATGCTTCATTTTTTTGTGTTACAAAATTGTGAACTTCTGCGATTAACCTTACAATAGAATCTGTGTTTAGGCGTATGATTGTATGAGTTTCAACAGACAACCTTGCAGCGGTTCCAGTCGTCACGCTCCGTATATACCACACAAGGGTAGAGATAAATCAAATTATTCAAAGGAACCATACTGCAGTGAAATGTACAGGAGAAAGAATAAGTATGTAGAGAATAATGATTGACTGGTTTCAACATGGAACTTTGCACCGATGTGCAGCAGTTCGAGTTGCCACACTTCACTCAGCACACTAAGTCAGAGAAGAAACGCAAAATACAGACAGTAAACAGAGATATGAGGCAAAGAGAATAGTAATATCGAAGAACAATATGGTCTCATTCGGTATTATAAGTCACAAGGAGTGAATGCATCTGCGCCAGTCATTGAGAACGATTTTGAGCCATATCACCAATTGTCTTCAGCCATTGGTGTTTACCACCACCCCCGGGGACCCTAACCAGGAAGTCTACATCTTCCTACGTGGCCTAAACTAACTGTTGTGGATTTCATTGACTGATGACACCATGTTTTGGTTTGACCACCGCTAGCTCTTTTCCAACCTGACCCTATGTCAGCTAGCATTGCCCGTCGAGGAAGGCGATGACTAGGCACGCATAACACATGCCCTAATCATCTCAGTCGATGCAACTTCACAGCCTCGTCGATTGATTTCCCCTCCTTACCTAGCACTCGACCGATGCCTAACCTCAATATTGCTCACTCTAATATGCCATTTCACACGGGAGATAGAACGCAGGCACACACGGTCAAAGACAACTAGCCTTTTCATGTCTTCCACTCTCAATGGCCAGGTCTAACAGTCATAAAGGAGGACGGAACGGACTGAAGAGCAGTACACACGTCCTTTGGTCGATAGCTGGATACCACGTCTACACCAGAGACGGCTTAAACTGGCATATGCGAAATGAGCCTTCTGTATCCGTTCTGAGATTTCGTCAGCGGACAACCCGTTGGGGCTGATGCAACTTCCCAAATAAGTGAAGTGGTCAACACGCTCATAAAGAGTGAATGTGTGTGCGCCACTGAGGACGACTTTGAGCTAAGACAACAATAGTTTCCAGTCAACGGTTATTGGCGTCTCAAGGACAGCTCCACAGTCGCACCGACTGATTTTTCCGCCCTAACACTCTACGCCTGGCCCCATTATTAGTCACTCACTACATTATACTACTTAACACAGGAGGCAGAACGCAAACATATACGGCCAAAGATAGCTAGTCTCTTCAAGTATTCTGCCTATGGTCATGTCTCACAGTCATAATGAAGGGTACAGAGAACACATCTTTTGGTCGATAGTCAAATATCACGTGTACCCTAGAGATGACCAATGCCATATGAACTAGTGTCGGTGGTATCGCACTAATTGCTAGAGCCGAAGCTGCATTACCCGACTGGATCCCCGCTAACACTCGTTTACGTGTTATGAGGTTAGGAAGTTATAATAGAGTAAGAAGCGACTAACCAGAGAAACGTTGTTAATTCATAATCTCTTCCAATGTGGCGACAGACTGCAGCCAAGGTGCAACTAAGGATGAGTTATGCTATCACAGTTGAGCGAGCTTCCGAATGCGAGACTAACGGATATAGATACCATCTCCTCTAGCTTCGTGTAGACCACAACCTACTTCCGGCCATCATCAAATTCCGTCACAGCCATCGTCGTCTTTTTACCTGGAGTCCTCTCCCTGTCACTCAGGTCTGGACTCAAATAGATGACATTGCTATCAGCTATCGGTGGAGTAGGTTCACATATGACGGCTGTTCATTCTGGAATACTTGTGTGGATTGGTATCATGCTTTATTGTGTGCCGGATTGATCTCACGATTCAGTGATCATAAACGTAAGGAAACTGGTAGTACGTGATATTGTAGTGAACTACTGAACTGGGCTTAACGCAAGGTCAGCTATTTACCTGCAATTAGAACACGCTGTGGAAGTTGCGAGTTAGGTGCACTCGGTCTTGGCCTTTACGGTTTACAGTGTGTTTAGTAATTTGATTATGGTTCCTTCGCACTAGATGACATGTTGATAACATGAGGACAACTAAGCTTATTCACAACGAGCGTTTGAGATATAATCAGAAGCTGCATTTTAGTACATCTGAGCTACAGGCGGTTAGATGATATGTCGATTAAGAACCTATAGTAGACATCTGAAAAGCTGAACACAACAGTACGAAATGAATTTGAGTAAATCCATAACCACAGCATCTAACAGCTGTAATCATAATACTCTAGCTAGTCATTACCGATTAACTTAACGAGGTGGAGAGCCACCGCCTTATCCGCGGTGATTTTAAGGAAGTCAGTGCGAATCTGAAGCATACCATTCAGGAGAGCTTGAAATAGTTGTAGTGAAGCTATTATTGCGTCTATCATTAGAAGTGGTTTAAGAAGTGTACGTTACAATCACATGCGTGTTAGTCTTCTATCGTTCGCTTCTAAAATATGAACTTCAGTTTTGTTACTCATTTTGAAAAAGATGCATAAGAAGTCGATTGAAGAAGAGCAGGCTGGGTTTCATTCAGGCAGTGAAAGCTTTAATCAAGCGTTCACTACCCTTCAGTTAATAAAACACCTTTATGTGTACTGCAGACCAACAGTCATTGTATTTCCTGATATTATGGCAACCCTTGACTCGTCGGGAATAACTGCTCTTCGGATTTCTGTTAGAGAGGTGTTACTGAGGAGTTAGTCAACTTCCTGGAATTCATTCAGAGGAACAACTAAAGTAGTGAGATTATACAGTCAGCTATCACTGTTGTTCTTCTCTAACAGTGAGGCATTATTTTACTGGCCTTTTGCTGAGATTTTAACAATCAGTCCATTAGGGCTGTTGCCAGTTCTTTGATAAGCGAAGTGGTCGAGACGTTCAACCACTGCAAATACTGCCTTCACGTCAGAAAACATGGCATAAAGTCTGACTGGTTTTCCCAGGTGCGTTTCTTCTCTGCACCATTCAATCTACGCGTGATTATTGAACCTGAAACTTAAGATACTATGCTAGTCAAGCTGATCCAATACGCCTATCACGGGAAGACTTGTCTCCCTTTTTAAAATTTGGAATAATCAGTCATTTACACCAGTTTCAAGGGACTGACTATTTCTAATTCCCAGACATTACCCAATATCTTAGTTAACCCAGTCACTAGTTCTCCAAGCATCTCTGCAGTCAAAGCATCAGGTCCCATCGCTTTGCTTCGTTTCAGTTTGGCGGAAGCTTTAACAACTTCAATTTTAGTTGAAGGGAAAATGTCTATATTCTACACAGGGATCTGTCAGATGCTGAAGGCCATTTAAACTTCTCCTATACGTGTTCCCTCCTACATTGTAGTCGTCTATCCTGTTAAGTAATTAAAGCACTTTTCTTCTCGGAAATTGCTTCGCTTATTACTGGTGATACGTACTGCTAATGCTTTCTATATCTTTTTCGCTTTTGTTGCCCACCGTTATTCATATTCACTGCGGAGACCTTTGGTCAGCTTACTTGAGAGCACCTTTTGCTCCTTGTCATGTTTGTAGCCTGCATTAATCATTTCGTGTGTTGCAGCAGAAATCCATGGTCATTCACTAACCTTTGGCCTTAGGTTATTAAAAGCCTTCACCACTATCTTACAGCCAGGTTTCCCCAGGATGATTCTTTCTGTCAATCTCAGTTATGCATGTAACTGTTTCTTCCCTAGATAAAGACTGTGTTCTTACGAAGAAGTCGAGCACGTTTGGGTTTCATAGCTGCCTGTTTCCTATATCCATTCAGTTCTTTGCGTATACATGTGCGGACTAGTGAGTGAAAAGACAGCAACTGACCTTCTCCATCGATAGGTTGTAGCTATGTCATCGATTTGAGTCCATTGTTCATTTGATGATAGAGGTCATGAAATGTTTTCCACAGGTTTGAAGCTAGTGCTGATCTGTATATTGATACCCTTCTGAATAGCACAGCTTCTCTACTAGAGCATTTAAATCACCTGCTACACTAGCTATATTTGAAGGTTTTGCCTTCAGTAGCAAACTAGACAAGTTTTGATAGAACTCATCATTTACATCGCCTGAGATGCAGTCGGTTGGGTTGTAAGCGAAGACCATGAAAAGAGATCGAAGAGTATCGCTATTTTTCCCCCTTCTAAGGGATCCATTCAGCTAGTTAAGCAGAAATTTTCTGCAATTGCACTCAACTCTATTCTTACGCGGGGAAATTTATGCGAACTAGTTGAAGAATCTGCTGATACCTATAAAGTGAATTTTTCAGATTCACCTTGTTGGTCAGGTGGGGTTAAATGAATAACCACACTTCTGTCTTATAGGCGTGTCTCCGAAACACAACCTACATCTTTGCTTCGAGATGCCAGAATTCTGGTAAGTGATTGCTGTGTTCAGACTTGTTGAATGAATATGGAGTTGGCAGTAAGGCTTTGAGAGACTGTCAGTAGTTATTACGGACCTCAGAGTTAAGAGAAGTCGAAAGACCTACCTGTGGAATAGTACTAACAACAACAGGAGAGCGTGAAGGTGGGTGATGATCATGAACGGTTTACATGCTTATGGGAGTGTACGGGAGGTCACTACTTCCAGGCTGTCCAAACCAAGGAAGTCGACTGCTTTTGAAATATCTGAAAATGAAGGAGCGTTTGTATTGCATGACCATGAAGTCGCAGGGATAGCTAGTATGACAGAAACTGCAGGAACATTAGTTCCAGGCAGTGTAGGCCATTGCTATATGCAAGCCCGACGACTACGTCAAAGTAGCAGCTTTCAGTAGGTGTTGTTCTAGAGAATACTACGCAATGATACTGTTCTATCGATTTCGCTATTTACGTACAGACTGCATAAAAACCACAAAAAACGGAAATTAATTGTGAATGATGTTTCGAAGGAGTTTAAATCACTTGCGGTTGTTGTTGTGCTTTGAAATTTCTCTATCGGCTGGGTTTATTTTCCGCAGTAGGATCGCTAGCCCCACACCCAACCCTCTCTCGTTTTCTGAGCTTAAGAACTAGGAACAAGAAAGCACTTAATGATAATATCTCAGAGCCTAAAATCTCTCTTTCTACCCAAAACTAATATTAAGCAGGCGAAATTATTTTTACCAAACTGTATTATTACTGCTACTGTCATATGAGGAAACTTACATATTGTTGGTTATAAATATATCTGAATATTGTGAAGGGATAGTTTTTCTAGATACCTGGCGGTATGGCGGTTGGCCGTATTGATCTTCAGCAAAAGGCATACTTTGAAACGGGTATTGGAAAGTGTTCGTGAGTGAACTGTATAGTCTTGGATTCACGGGGACCGTACCAGGATATGCGTATTCAGTCTGTGGTGTGTCACCAGTTTTTAGCATCTGACCTGCACTTTCGACTACTGCGATATCTTGTGGGCTTCCGACAATACCACCATCAATGCCAATAACCCCATCGTCGGGGCCACCAACGATAGATGCGTCTGAGTACTGAGGATTTAGTACATTTATTCCAGGTGGGATTTCGATTTCATCTTCTGAGACACCACTTAATGCAGCTGATGGGAGTTTCTGGTCATCAGGATATAGAATGGTTGTTTGACTAGGCAGAGTTGGTGGGTTAAACATAAACGGCTGTTGTTGTTGGTTGTAAAAATTAGGATTCATGAGGGACTGTAGGAATAATTGTTGTACCGGCAGACTGAGTCGCAAGAGTGAATACTGGTCTATGAGGTCAGTTTGAGAAGTTAAGGGGAAGACAGTCTGTTGATTTTGCCCAGTCGGCGAATACTGTTGAATTTCTGAATCTGGATAGGATACTGGTAATATACTACCGGCACTCCATGGGTTGTATGACCTGGCATTAGATGCGATAGCTGTCTCGCTGAATCGTGTAGTGTAGATGATTCCAATAGAAACAAATAAGAGCATATTTAGGATGTTCATTATGCCCAAACTCGTTACTCCACCAACAATTAAAATTAAAAATGACTAAGTGGAAGTCAAAATAGCTTTAAAAGTAAGTGAATACGATTCACTTTAAAAGTGACCAATCAGATAAAGCCTGTAGAATAAATGTGAGCGTAACTCATCAAACAACTTATTTTCGATCAATATTCACCCAGTCTGTACGAATTATCAGGCAGTATATCTGCCCGCAACCAAATAATTACGAGATAATGTGGCAAATTTCGTGACATGTCGTACAAGCAGGATGACAAGTTATGAGTTATTGATTACTAATCAGAATTTCATTTTAGATTACTGAATAATTTATAACGTACACGCGAAGCTGTTTTAAAGAAAAAAAAAACAAATTAATTCTGTTGTTATATTTCTAAGTAAAATGATGTTAGGAACATACGAAATGAAAAATAATGAATGCGCAAAATGAGCCAATGATCAACAGTTTGGGAATGTGATATGAAAGTTTTGAGAAAGGTGATTCCTCTTGAAATAATGAATCGTAAATTTATGTTGTAATAATAGGATAACAAAAACTAGGGCATTTGTTGATATATATATATATATCGTGTATGGGGGTGAGACAAGAAATTATTACATTGTTAATAGACCAACAACAAAAATAGCACTCAGATTTGTTGAGATAAATCAGCTGAAAGAAGGAATTTCTGCATTTCTTTCAATAAAAGTAAATTATAATAAGAAGTTTCTGATGAGTATGATGGTGTGCGATAACATGAGTTTCGTAGATGTCATAAACAAAAATTCTGTTTACGATTAAGAATGATAATTTCAGTGTTAACATCTTGATAAAACAGAAGAATTTGATGATAACTTTGAACAAATGAGCCAAAAACAAGCATTTCAAAACTGTATTAATACGGAAAACAGCAGATCACAGTGATGACCAGTCATTGATATTTTCATACTTAAGTTCCTAAAGCTTAAGCGCTAAATAATGCATATATATATTGAGGAAAATTTAAGGATGCATATTAACACTGCTGGCTTATCTTCCTTTAAGAAAAAGCACTGCTCATTATTTGCATTTAAGGTTAAGTGTGCGGAGTTGAAGGAAGTGGTACTACATACGTCAAACAGTCCCGAAATGTGTTCTTGTAGGCCCCAAAATACGAATTCTGCAAAGTTACCTGAGTGCAGTCAGTTAAAAGAAATGAGCAAAAGCGAATTACTGCAGTAGTGACTTCGTTAGAATGGTAAACCCCAACGTTTATCCTTTTTCTCATATTTGGCAGCAAGGATAGCAGCGGAACGACCAAAACCTTTAGCTTGATCAGCCATCTCTTGAGTTTGCAGATCTAATTGCTGCAGTCGTTCACCTCGTTCGATAGCGGCATTTCGAGCTCGTGCGATTTCGGAGGTGGCAGTACCAGCTTGACCAGACAGTTTTTCCATACGAGCGTTTGGGAGTAGAGTAGTAGCACCAGGTGTCCCCTTCCCTGAACTTGCTTCACCAACTGAAGTAAAAATAAGTAACCAAAGGCGAATTCGGTATGCCATTAGACGAGATGCAAATTAAAACTATGGTTTGTGAGACTCACTACTCAGAAAAATTGAAATCTACCCCAACACAATGATTTAGTGTGAATAGAGAAAAAGTTAGTTTTAAACTAGATCTATTCACCCTGGTGCTTGTTATTGCAAAACATTTAAATAAAAAAATTTGTCAACCAGTAAAAGGAAGGAAAACTAGCAGCTTATTCAGTAAAATTGCAGTCCACTGAAAATGCATTGTTGGTAATGTAACTTATACTTTTGGTTAAATAGAAAATTCCATACTTGTGTACAACTAAACATAATGTTACGATGCTTTGTTAGTTTGCATATATCCACAGAGTATTCACAAGATGCCAGAAAATATCACAGACTTTATATCCACCACCCACGAATTATGGAATCTACCAAGATAACAAACCTTTGAGGTAGGTAATGCTCACGATGTACAAATATGATAACTACCTTAATACTGAGAGTAAGATACGTTCAATGTATTCATTTTATTTTCAAATATCAAGTAGTTTAGGTGCTTCTCTTTTCTAGAAATAATACAGCACAATACAAAGTAAACACTTTCAGTCTCAAGCATACTCATTGTCGTTTAACTGAGAATGAATAATACGCTGGTATTTAACAATATTATGTATTAGTGCATGACTAGTAACATATATAATTAATAGTAGGGAGATAATTTCTGGATAGTGACTTTTAAACTAGAAATTCGTATACAATATGTATAGTGTAAAATCATGGTGACCTTGACTAACACAATAAACACACTCAGCAATATGCTCATCCCACTTAGTTGAATAACATTTATTTTCGAAAAAATTACTGCTTATAAACTCAGCAGAAGTACTAGGTACACCCTATTGTATTGCATCATTAAATTGCTTTCAGTACAGACAAACATTCACGAAGTTTGCAAGCCATGTTCTCTTACAATGCACTTCATCTTTAGACTCTGTTCCTGTGTTTCTCCTGAAAAATAAGCTTACCATGACACATCTTTGAAAGAATGAAGACATTCCACTTCATTGCTTACTACAGCCAGTGTATCTAAACGTTCTTTATTTTGTCAATTTCTGTTCTGTTCCTTATATTATTATTTTGCAATAGCTGACTTCATCACCTCTGCTACCAGTCTGAAAGTCTCCGTGCCAGCTGTTTCCCGACTGAACGTTTCTGAAAGTAATATCCGCCTAGATAAATAAAACTAACCAGTGATCTTCTTCAAACGCTTTTAAATCAAATCCTACACAAAGTTAGACGTTTTATTTATATTAAAGGCTTAGACAATCACTATTTGATTAATGCAGTCGAATGAATCTAGTAATACCGATAGAACTATTGTATGGCATAAATCAAACGTTGGCTATCTCACCACTACTTTTTTTATTATCTTTGTTGGTTGTCTCATGTATTATTGAGTTTCAGACACTCTTTCGTAACAAAGATAGGAATCTTTGGCATAGTTCAGTCCTTTCTTTTTCAATTTTGAAATTCCCATATGTTACCGATTCTTCTTTATCGTTCCTATTTATTATTTCGTGGACTACTGGAAAGAGCCTATGTTACATTTTGTAGGATTATAAAGGTATAAAAGCAGAGTCAGTCAGTGGTGTACCCATCATTCAACAAGCTGAAAAAACATTTAAAGCAACGGGAGCCGTTATCTAGAGTAATCATATGGGATGCTGAATATTCATTTTTATTCTCAACTTTGTGCATGTGTCTCTTCAGGGAAACAAGAATTAATTCCGTAAGAATACATGCTAACACACACACACACCTAAATATAAAACTTCAGTCATCAGTTATTTATCACGCATCTTACATGAAAATAGAAATGTAAGAGAGAGAGCGAAAATTACACAACAAACGTTTTAATCAGGAGACAAACAGCAGCAATTTCATTCCTGTATTATTAACTCCATCAAAATTAATAATAGTAATAATGCTAGTAATATTATTAGGCTTTTTTTTAAACTTTTTCAAAGAAAATAAATGTATGGCAGTATAAAAATACTGAAAACTCTGTAATGTATCAAAAATATGGCTTAGAAAAAGTGATCATTATATTATTATTATTATATTACAAGTATCAAACCCACAGGATACACTCATTAGAGCGTGTATTAACATACAATCCCTAAACAAACACTTGAAATTTATTGCAGAAAAGTGGTATGTACTGTTGAAGAACACGAAACATGATATTGTATTACAACGAAAAGTTGTAGGAAACATGATGAGTAGAATCAAGATATGTAGGAAACAATTATGAAGTAACGGTATGTTTTTTGAGGAATCTCTCTTTTTTCTCGCCTGGTTGCATGCAGATGAAAGCAATTACGTCATTCAACATTTTTCCCCTATAAACTATTGTAATTTAAAAATTTTTTTCATCTTTGAGGATTACTACCGATGCACATTCAAAGAAAGAGACAGTTAAATGAACTGTATCAGTGGACGAAATTCCTAGATTGTATTGAGTATATGTTTGACTTACTTTTATAGAGACTGTGAAGTGACCAAGTTTACAGGAATACGAGGAATAAAGAATTTGTATGTGATGATATGATTTCCTAATACGCAAGACGATTTTAACCAGTCAAGCGTTTTCAATTTGAAATCATGCAACTGAATTCATTGTGTTGGGGAAATGGTATATATATATATTACCACTGAATACTACTGACCACCTACCTACAAGCTATTTAAGCCTTATGAAAGTTCTATCGGTCGTTTGAAACCTTGGCATGGAAAGGGGAATTCAAAAGTTCTCCGTTTTTGAGATTAATTTATCCATTTCATGGAGCAGTAGTCTATCAAAGTTAGTCATGTAAAATTAATTGACAATATGCATGCACATCACTTTGATCTTCAGTGGCAAAATCTTCATATCAATGTAACTTGCCACGACCAGCAAAGCAATTCATTATTGAGAAGAATTATCTTCTATAAATCAGATCATATAATTCAGTATAGTTTATAAGTTATCATCAGAATCATTTTTAATAACAGACAAATATAATGGTGAATCGGAAAAGTCGAATCAATGTCTAATTCACTGAGATTAAGGCAGTGAGTGGTGTGGTAGGAAAAAAACCTGTAAACTAGTATCATAGTCTTCAAAAAGTAGGAAACAACAAGAAAGAAAATGAGACAGTTTTAGCTAATTATTCTAATCAGACCAATCAGCGGATGTCAAATAAAAAAGACTGAATGTGTGCAGTTTAAACTTACACCAAATTAAAGAAACTTAACTGCAGGAGTTGTACGACATAAAAGATTCTAAAATGAACATCATCATTCAGTTGTTACATAAAACACTACCAAGACTTCTACGATGAACAAATTTTAAAAAAATTCACGCATAAAACATGGTTTGTGAACTTTGAAAAGATAAAATCAGCGCTTAACTTACACAACTCATCTCGATCTAATGAAGACGTCAAATTTCCACTCAGCAAATTTTTGAAAAAATTCTTCTTAGGAGGTTCTGGCATATTACTTGGTAAGAAAATCTCACCTTGCATATCACGTAAATTAGCACTGAAGCATGCAGAAGATAGAAAAAGAAATCAATACCTGGTAATCATATGACGTATCGTAGTATGGTGAAGGTTAATTCCAATCTAAAAAAAGCTAAACTTCACGTAGACAATACAATTTTCTTCATTATAATAAATGAAATAATCAACTGTTTGGATTGTCAAGTTTAACTGGGTGCAATGCAAGCCCTCATAGTTTTTCATGTAAAGTTACGTGAAGAAGAAATTATAGTAAAAAAAAGGCTAATACTACCAATATGTCTCTTAAACAATGATTTACACTACAAAGAAACACTGAATTGTGCACTTGATGAGTACTTTTTAACGTTTGCTTAAAAAATCCAAACTCCACCACAGTTTCCTTCCACCTGGATAATATGTAGATAAATTAATTCATTGAGACTCATGACTGCTGTATTTGAAGCAGGCTTTCGTCAAACCCTTTCTCCATTGTGAGGCATAGAGCGTATAGGCTTAGCATGTGCGGAATCTCTGGAGTATTAATCAGTCGAATAATTGCAAATACATAGAGAAAAAAAACTATTACATGGATGCGATCTACATCACTTAGCACAAAAATAAACCACAAGCATGGCCATACACAGTTACAATTATTCATGAAAAATGACATCAAGAGGATTTCATATACACGAGCGAAAAATCGCCTACCTGTAACAATCACCTTGCTCAAAGAATCATTTAATTCTAGTTATCTTTAAGAATTAAATACTCTTATTAATTTATATGATTTCTATTTAAAAAGTATAACAACACATCAGTAATACTCTTTTTATGCGATATTTAAGGTATTCTAAATATTCTAACAAACACAGAAAGTGTGTAGGTGTATGCACGCATACAAATAAATATATATGTATGTGTACATAACAAAAAAGAACCTATGTTCCGTTACACGTATGTGTCGCTTATTAAAGTCAACATATCAAACAGTGATTTCATTTGTTGAAATTTTGAGTCTAAACACAACTGATAGACATACATAATTCTCATGATGAAGGAATAATAGATGCATGACAATGCCTAGCATAAATAAAGTACTAAAAGGCACCGCCATTGCTGTAATCACGTAAACTGCCAAAATAAAAGGTCACTTATGGTTTCCGTCATCCGATGACATATTCAACGTACAACTATTATTATGACTAGGCTGATCTCTTCCAATTAATGTCAATGTAGACACTTCGGCAAAAGAACTTCGATTAACTGTAACTGACTGTATAGGCAGAATAATAAATTTTAGTTTAGATTAATTTCCAGGGTTAAAGGCAGTTAAATAACTCTAAGAAAAATCACACATGTGCTTTAACTTTTCTCTCTGAATACTTACAACTATGCATAAAAACTGTCTTACGGTCATTTATTCATCATAAAAAAAACAGACCATATATCTATACACCGAAAATATCTATCGGCAAGTGTACTATGTACATACGATTTTATCTTTGATAGTTCTCTTAGTTCTAAAAACAACTGGATTTACTAAATGGCAGGAGCTCTCATTATTTCGCTATCGAATCATATTTGTTTTGTAGGGTTCACATATGCGTGTACTGCATCACAGTGATAAATCGACAGGTATATTCACTCTGCCTTAGACGAATTCTTCAGTATGCTTTCCTCATATTTTTTGATAGCAGAAAAAAAATGCTGTTTAGCAGAAGAGATAATTATACCTTCCATTTAAAAAACATGCAGTGTTATTAAGGCTACACGGGTTAGACACTTTCAGTCTTCGAAATATACTTAAACCTTAGCGGTCAATCGGATGTCTTGTATTTCCATGGGAGTTAAAATTTTGGGAAGGCCGGACAAGTGCTCTGTACGCATGTCACAATGGTCTTCAGGTAAGTGAAATATTCAGTTAGCTAAGTGATTTCAATAGCCACGGTCAGATTGACATCAATGCAGCTTAATCCTGAAGTGGCAGTTAGCACTCGGAAGGTGAGAAGCCGTATCCAAACATCTTGAAATCACTATCCAAAATATTCAGAAAACTGAGTATCTTCTCTCAACATGATTACGTCACGTTTTATACATTTTGCTTTCAGGCATACTCTACTATTAATATCCCAAGCTATGATAACTTTATGGGGAGCGCTTCTGTCTATGGTTCTACTTTAGTTTGGATTTGTTTAAATCTAAAATTTTCGGTTTACCTTACTTTAAAAGCCGTTGAGGATCATTACATATCTGTCGAAACAACATTAAATTATGTTTAAAGAAACTGTTCCCAATACTTGACATATGAACTTCTTCAGCACTCACCTATCTTACTTAGTAGTAAACGGATTAGTGAGCAACTGTCTTACGGCACATTAATAAGAAAGAGACTGCTAAATCGAATTCAAGGAAGATATGAATGTCATTATTATCACAATAAAATCAAACCTTACCAAACATCTGATGACCACGTGATTTTAGTTAATTCCGATGGTGAAGCCAAATACACAGCTTGTGCATACTGACCAAAGGCAAATGATCGAGTTACACATTCTGTATAAGGCAAATAATCCATATCCATTAACAAACGTAAACTTGGTAAAGAGAAGGCAATAAAATGTCCATTTGCCAGATAACAGGCAAGAAAACTAGATGTTCCCGATGCGCCACTATTATGAGACGATCGAAAACGTTGTACAGAAGCACGTACCACTTGACTTGTTTCGGTTATTTTGACCTAGACAAAGGGCAAGTATCAAGCAGAAATTCGAATAAATAACTCAGTTACATAATATCAAAATCATTAAAAAGATGAAATGTTAAAAGTGAATACTAAACTTGCCTTATATAGACACGTTTGAGAGGGAAGTGCAACTACACGAGCCTGTTTTTCCGAACACAGTACAACAAGCTGTCGATCAGAATCAACGAAGCCTTTAGATCCTGTTGGAGAGTCAAGTCCAGTAGTAGCACCTGACTGCAATGTACCACCACCTGCAATACTGGCCGCTATAGTACCTACAAAACAGTATGAGTATGATATATGCTTATTAAGAAAGTTCTACAAAAAAGTACTTTGAATTAACGAGTTTGTAAGACGAAATGATGACATAAAATTCCCTCAATACAATCATTTGAGTAGCTTAGGTTTATCTCAAGACAACATACATTTTATTTCATGCTAAGTAAATGAAGTTTGCCTAATTCTTATGTGTTAAGCCCAGATAGGATAGAGTTTACGGAGAAAACACTGGATGTAAATCTATATCGAAAAGTTAATATTTTTTGGGTAATATTGCTTAGAACCTACCTTTCTGAAAGTCGAATGCACACTTGTACGGTCACAACAAATACGTCAGTGAAAAAAATGAACTGAATTGGCTTACTTTGTAAAACTGCTGCTTTTCTACTATTCCGTATTCAGTTGCGTATAAGGATAAAACAAATGAGAGGCAAGAACAATGACTTCTCTTTTAAAAGGAAATAATTTCTGTCCTTATAGGAAATAACTAAAGGTTCACCACAAATTAATCCGAGCAAGACTAAAGGTGTTGATATGCAGTGAACATGCTTTTAACAGTATATCCCGACAAAAATGTTTGGATTTCTGTGTAATATCACTTAAACTGTGAGTCAAGGTCATTTCACTTCAGACACTTGGTGTGACACTAGCTTGGAAAGCAGAAATATGCTATTTTTGCCATACAACAGTGAAAAATGGTCAGTAACGACTGCCAACACAAAACAAAATCAGTTGTGTCCTAAACGTTGTATCATTTAAAGTATGTGCATTCCATAAAACTACATAATTATTCATTGTAGAGCTAAGCTTTCGTTTAAAATAGGTACAGTAATGATTTATTGACGTACTGAAACAAATTATATCGGTCTGAAAAAAATGAGAGGTAAAGCAAAGCCACAGAGCAAGAGATAACTGGATAACTGGAAAGAAATGCTAATAATGAGACGTCTAAGTCGAAAAGCATAATCTCCAATAGATTCATTAGATTCTGAGTAATGAGGTAGTAACCAGTTGACACGGTTGAAAGTCTCCCTGCTTTCCTTTGCTTAACTGGTTTCTGCTACTCAAAACTTCCGCCTATCACCATGCTGTTGATCAGGTATAACAGTTTTCAGAGACACCACCAAGCACCCGAAGCCCAAAATACTTTGTAAAATAATGTAAAAGCTTCTTCTAAATGCGATAGCTGACATTATAAAGTCGAAAACGGAAGAACCAGAGGAGAGAAAAAACTCTGCAAATGATAAAACAGACACGACTCCTTCAAATTTAAACATTTCAGTGAGAACCAATTCCAATTTGTTAAGCGACCAGTAGTTCACCATTATTCATTTTGACGGTACCACTATAAATTTCTGTTTGGCTCAACTGTTATTTCTTTCTCTTTCTTAAAATAAAACCTTTAGTTACTGAGATTTCAACAACCAGATAAGGCCTAAAATTAGAAAAAACTCACGTGGAATTCCTGGCAAGCTGGAATCGAAGAACTAAACAATAACCATAATTACTCTTACTAGCAAAGTAAACTAAATATTGTTTGCATTTTCCACCATGCAGAATCTTAAACCATATGACCAGCAATTTATTGATTGAGGTGTAAAGTTAGTAAACAATCGCACAAGACATTTTTGACATAACTAAAATTAGCATGGTAAGATGTAAAGCTGGATTCTCTCGCAATTTTCGTTTGTAGCGACTTGATTTCAGTAAATATACATTTCTTCACGAAACAAAATCACTTGGAAAATCAATGGGAGAAAATAATCCCTAAAGAACTGGATTCACCACGTTTGATATGAAGCGATGGGTCTAAATCAGTAAGTGAGAAACCTAAATTTTAGCTACAGTTCGAGGTGGACAAAATAAATTCATCACTTCGCAACAAATGAAGTCTAATACCTCAGAGGATAACCTTATAATCACTGAAAATATTGATTACTATTGACAAGCCTGAAGAGTACCAGCATATACAGAAACACCTGTGTGAAAAATTTTTTTTTAAATGCACATGTTCAATTGGCATTCAGTAGATACCTGAATAATTCAAATACGAATTGTAAGCAGACAAAAATACCTAAGATATTGAGGTGTTAGAAGAATTTATTGCATAAAGTACACAATGATGAAAGCTAATGGACATGGAGAGTGGTTTTAGATCATTTCGCTTTAGTGGCATTAATTTATTAACAGCAACAATTCACACTCCTTTACTTCCCTAAGCCTGGTGAAGAGGAAAGGTTGGGCATGAGGCTAGCAACCTTATCCTGTAAAATAAACACTGCTACAGGAACTTAAAGCCACTGGCTTGAAGCCCTATGTTCCACTGGGGAACATGAAGGAAAAAAAACAATTCAGTAGTTGATTGATTAAATCCTCAGGTCCGAAAAAAAATCATACAATTAGTGCAGATATGTTAATATGTCAGTACATCGGTGGTCCAGGAGTAGAATGCCTGCCAGTCACTCACATCATCCGGAGTTTGATCCCTGACCGACGCACTGCTTGACCTCGCTGCTTAGCCGGCAGTATGTCGGGATAAGGATGAAGGTTGCGTTATTAACACAAGCGCTGCTGAAAACTCAAAGCTCTATGGTCCACTAGGAACAGAATTGGAATGAAATGTTTACAAATCTAATATATAGTAAGAAGGATAATTAAAATACACTGACCAGATTATACTTACCGGAATGACCAGAAGATGATGCAGATGATATTTGTGTGGTAACAGTATTTTGACGAGAAATCGACTCTTTCATTGCTCGAGTACTACTACTTCCTCCTCCCCCACCGCCGCCACCACCTGACTTTAAACCTGCATCACTTGACCCATAAGCGTCGACACCACCATGAACTGAAGAAGCACCTCCAGAACATACAGATGAGCATGATAAAACAGATGCTTGTTTCGAAAGCTCAGAAGTTGTCCCGCCTTTGATAAAAGGTGAGTCATCCCAACGTTCTGAAGGATTTGGTATAATATCACCGGTAATATCTAACATTGCAATGTGAATTATGTCACCACGTAAACGATATAAGGAAGCTGAAATGTATATTTAAAATAAAAGTATATAGCCTGTCTTGCCTCTCATTATGGTAAGGAAAATTAATGAATGGATATTTTGTAGAAAAAAAAGAAAGAATTAGATCGCTCTAGGTTGTAGATGAAGTCCAGCTACACATAGGAATTAGTTTCAATTGGCAAAAGAAAAATCACACTAAGTGATAGTAAGATTATGGAAAAACCAATTACACACACCGAAATTGTGTCTCTCCATCCACCCGAATGACAAGAACTTTTAACAAAGAAATAACAAAATGGTTTCAGTGATAAATATGCAATGAGTTTAAAGAATTTGACCAACAGTATTTTCCACCCAAAAACACATTTTTTTCCTCTCCACAGAATTTTAAAAAAATAAGTCGTTCAACACAAAAAGGTAGAAATTATGCTTGAAAGATTGCTTGAAGTAACTACCAGTAGGTTTATACAACTTTAAGGTAAGTCTCTAGCATAAGCACCCAGTAGAATTTTGTGAGCATTCAGGTGTTCACAATGGTATTCTGACAACAGCTCTATAGAGACATGGTAGAGAATGGAAGTAAATGATACCGATTTTCTGTAGCATGAACCGCAAGACTATTGAAATACAGGAGCAACCGAACAGAATTCACCATAAGATGATTGATAAGTTTGTGTTTGAGGCTTCTTTGTTAAAAAGCATTAGGATATGATGAAAGGCAAACTTAAAAATAAATAAAAATACCCTTATTCCGAACAAAATGTTTACACAATATACAGAATTTCCAGACTAATTCATTGGATAATATGTTCTTCTCATTAAGGATGTCCAAGTAAAGTAGCAGTCTATACTGTATCACGTGACGTAATTCTTTTAGATTTGAAGCATAGACGAATCCGTTATGATATTTTTCCTTCGTCGCCACCGGTTGTTTGAAAACTAATTGAAAATGTGCGTGAGTACATTTTGTGACTCAAGGATATAGCTGAACTGTTATTATTATTATTCCCTTGGCTTTCGAGTGGAACATAGGACTTCAACAACACATCTCCATTTTGTTTTACTTTCTACCATTCTCCTCAGCTGGGTTTGCGATTACTCATAATCTCTCATCTCCACATTGCACGATCTCCTTCATGTCACCCTCACACTGACGGCCCAGTCATAGCTTTCTATTTGGAATCCACTCGAGGGCCTAGCGAGCGATGTCGTTAAGACAATAAGACTTAGGGAAAATATGATGCACTGTGTCAGGTAGCTCAGTCATTTAAGTAGGCAGCTGTTCAATTGGTCTCTACTTATTATTATTACTTATTCTACAAACCCATCACTTTGAAGTGGCAGAGGAAATCAATGGCATTGTATTATGAACTACGATATCATAAATGCTTTAGTTCTTTAAAGACTGCTGGCAGGCGTGTGCATTTTCTATTGCGCGAAAGGAGTCTCCTTAAGTTTCTCCAGCTAAAATATACTATATATATAAAGTAGTTCCCATGAATGAAAAGTGTGAGATTCACTTGAGTGATTAAAAGTTTCTGTCTCGTAACACATATTCAAAAGAAAATGGAGATGGTTTGGATATACACGCTGAGGAGACCGTTGAGTAACATTACACACTAAGCCTTTAAGTGATACTGGGATGAGGAAAAACGGGTTGGGTATCTGAGAATGACATGGAGAAAATCGTGTGGGAAGCAAATAAAACCTTATGAGTAATCTCGGAGCCAGCTAAAAGAGGACTGCAGAGAACAACGTGAAATGGAGACGTGCAGCTGAAGCCCCGTGTTCCACTTGGAACCCAAGGGAATAGTATTACTATTAAATAATCCAGCTACTTAACTTTCTGGATTAAATTAAACTAAATGGACCATGATATACGTAATCACAGTCATGGCTATGAGTGTGCCGCATACAGAAGGAGCTCGCAAAACAGCCTCATGAGAATGTAAAGTGCCCAGGTATTTTAAGCGGTGTTTGCAAAATGTCTTTTAAGAGGGTTTGTTTGGAAATATTATTGTAAGACAGATTGAAAGCAAGTGACAAATTAAGATATAATGCAAACAAATAAATATTCAACTCCATGAATATTTCTCAGTAGAATAATAATCTTACACAAGAACAGAGGAATAATTTAAAATTCCTGTGATTCGAAATCAGTTTTTCACAGGATTTTGGAAAGGAAATATTCTTGAGGTTAATGAAATAAATGAAATGAACTTATTTTGTTCAGTTGGAACTGAATAATCTGGACAAATATTTCATTTACTAGGCTATGAGCCGAGCTTATTGTGTTCGAGCTGTCGCGATATTACCAAGTACCCCGGGCTCATAAAGGTGCAATGGGATTGAAACCAAGCACTCACTTGTTGAAAGTCAAGCAGTAGAATCAGTGAAACAAATTCTATTTAAGCGATTTGAGAGGAAATTTTTAAACTTATAGCAATATATTCAACAACAGAGATGGAAGCTTCGAAAATCGAAGTGACTAACATCTTAAAAAAAAATTCTGGCAGATATTAGCGTTTGACGGTGGAGACTCATTGAAAATTTAATCGAACGCTGAAGCTTGATGGTGGTGGAAAAATAAAGGTAGTGTTGTTGAATGGCTGGATAGAATGATGGGAAGTTAGGAAACATTCATTACTAAATTTCAGATAAACAGAAACGGTCTGAATTGTAACCAACTATTATTCCACATATAGTTGTATATAGGATGAGAAATAGACATTACCTCATCTGAAAAGTCTTTATCTAGGGGTGATAAATAAACGTTTTGCAAAATTTTTTACAGGAAGATAAACAACGTGAGAATAATTTATGTTCTAACCATCTTCATCTCAGTTAAACAAAAAGGACAGTAGAATCAGTTCAATAATCCAAAGACAAAAGGCCAAATCGTACTATGAATGGAAATCGATAAATTCAAGGGTATTCTATCACCAAAAACTGCTACAATGAAGTAAAGTAATTAAAACACTCGTACGTAAAAGGAAAACCAAAAAAACCTTATCAAAAAGTGAACGCTGTAAACATTTCAAGCTCAAATGGTATAAAAGATGAAACTAACTATAACATATATTTGTATGAGATGGAATTTTCGTATATCTATCTTCGCCATAGACAAAAATCGATATCTCTGTTTTAAGCAGCATAAAAAAATTGATTGTCAGTCATTCAAACATTGTGCACAAATATAGACAGAACAGATAGGAGTTAAACAAATACTAGCTGACAGTTAATTAAACAGTGTTTACACTGGATACATACAACACATTCTCACTAATATACACTTGCAAAATATACATACGCACACATAACCAATATATCTACACACAAACATAATGTTTTAGGCTGGTAGATAATTGTTTGCAGGAAAATCACTGATAGAGTTCACTATTCCGATAACGCGTATGGGGTGAAATGAGGGTATTTCTATCTCCCAACTCACTCGTGCATATATGTATATATATATGCACACACAAATTTAACCCCCCTTCCTTTTATTTTTCGCCTGATGACGCAAAGAGTGAAAACGTTTATTAAGTGGAAAGAGTTGATTTCAAAATGTTAATCAGTTTTATGGAAAAAACGAATTTATCATGTCTACTCATTTGCGAAGGCAAACAATATAAAAAGGAAAAATTTTACATGCTTCTAGAGTAAATGAAACTCGAAAATTACTGAAATTAAAGTATATGATGGCATAAACATTCGTTATGGGATAGGGAAACCACCGTATTCAGTATTGTAAATACAAATAGGTGTCAACGCAAAATAACCAGATATTAATTCAGTCTATAGTAGTTATTCACTCTTATGGCCGAAGAAAATGTTTTAGTCACACTAGTATGTCAGACCATACTGTAAAATAATCGACTATGAAAAGAATATGTTGACTATCATATTTTGTTGCTGGTAACGGTGGTCTCATAACGAAAATTATGACAGGTTGGTGCAGTCTTATCGTTGATACCGGGATCATCCACGCGCGTGGTCTATGGGATTTTGGTTTGATCCATTGAACAGGTGTCAAAAGTTATGAATGTCTCCTTAACATCACAGTGTAACAATGGTCACCAAAAATAATGCTAAAGGACAGCTTCTGTCTTACGTGAGCCAGTATACTCGAGTTCTTGACGTATTTTTGTCACGATATATTGCACTTTTGGTCGGAATACTATAATACCTGGCGTTGTGTAAAGTTCTGTTCAGTAAAGCGCAGATGTCTCCGCCTGACAGATCTACAACTTGACATTAGCCTTCATTTCTCGACTCGAAGAATTCATCATTCCCATATACTTGGGGTTCATAAAATATTCTGCAAGTCACGATCGGCTGACTGGACAGAAGCCCAGACAACAGTCTAGGTGTGTTTTCTCATTTCTAAAGTTAAACCCCAAGGTTGTAACATTAAATAAGCGAGTGATGATTATGCTTTATTACTCTTTTCGTCAGTTTCGGTAATGAGATTTTCCCACTAACTAACACACTTATTGGAGTACTATTTGTTGCCGATTATCCTTTGTTTCCACTCCTTGAGTTCCGGGGGAAACATAGGGCCTCCAGTTTGAAGTTCCAGTAGTCATAGTGTTCTTTTTACGGGGTGGGTTTGCTAGCGTCACGCTTAACCTTACCTCATTTCCAGGCTTACTATCGAACATTAGACTACGCAAAGCTTAGAAGAGTATCAGTTAAGAATGGAATCTTGGACCACGTACGGAGTTAGTGAGGTTTCTACCGCTGAAACATTGACACACAATATACCTAGCTACAGTAATTATATTCTATCGTATAAGTAAGTTCTTTATAAGATGATGCCCCGAAAAATTATGGATTCACCGAAAAGGCTTTCATTCTGCCAACTAAAATTTCCAGAGATGCTGGTAAGAGGGCTAAATTTACCGGTTTACATGACTGTATCATTTCGACTTGTATTTTAAAATCTCATTAGTACCTGAGCGTGAACTTAACATTCAGCAAATGATTTTAGTGTTCGGTGCTCATTTAACTAGGATGATTTATTTGTTGCTTCAAAAACTCTGTCTGAATGACAATGACTTCTCGTGCAGACCCTACCACTACCAGGACAGTTAGTTAAACATTCGAGTAAATCACTGTAAAAAACTAGTAGTGAACGGACGTGACAACTTTTGAGAACCTGCAGGTGCTTTTAGCTTCAAATTCCACCGATTGTGATATAATTCTGCTCTTGATGACTAAGTTTAAAGCTTTTCTTCTTATTCTAGATTCACTGACATTCCACAAACACCAGTGTTTAGAAATAACCTAAGATGATGTTAAATTATTTTTCCAGTGAATACCCTTTTTTTTTTATAAAATTACACTAAAATCAATCCAGAAAGTTTGAATTTCTAGGGGGTGCGCGTGTCACAAATATAACTAGGAAAATTCGATTTCACATAGCACTTTGCTTACCCTCTTGACATTTACTTTATGATCGTTTTCCTAGAGGTTGGTGTAATTCGAATTTATCGAAGAAAAATTCTTTACACACAAACTGATAATACAATACCTTCTGTATAAAAAAAACATCTGCGCTGACTATTAACACAGTTACAATGACAGAAATTAAGCAGCCACACCAGTGATATATATATATATATATATTCAGATTCCCATCGACACAGTGAACACTGAAACCTTTAAAGTAAAATTTGCAGAAGTTTTACAAGAGCAGTTATATAAGATGTCATGATTACATGTGTCTAAGGTTTCCAATTACTTGATGGACTATGCGATTAAGCATCTTAGCGCATGCGGATTTGATGGTGTTGTGAATGTCACAACTGGTTTGGAGGACTAGTATGATTTACTGATGATATTAAATATATAATGCATAGATTTATGCGATTTTCATCAAGAGTTGAGACATCAGAAATCAATCTAATTTAAAGTTAACCATTTTCCTACAAACTACACAGAAAAACAGAAAGTTGAATTGACTTTTCAACATGAAACTTTGACCATTTGTAATCACAAGTGAACGTAATTATCGGTTTACTTTTAAAAAGTCAAACAAACATAGAAACAGTGAACAAAATTACAGACTCACCAACATTGTAGGATTGACTTATAGGAGTATTATTCAGAACTCGATACTTCAGATTTAAAACAACAACACATCCACGAGAGGTGCCGATCCATATATTCGGCCCATTATACTGGTCTAAAATTAGTTAAAAAAATAATACAAATTTAGTTTCATAAATATACACTATATATAACCTATTTTTCTGAATTTCTAAACCCCTTTTTTAATCATGCACATTTGTTTTCATAACTGCTATCTGCCAGCAGCTTTGAGCTTCATATGAATGCAACATCTAAATTATCAATATTCAGTTCTACATTCAGTCTACGACGACCACTAGACAGATACACGTGACGAATGCTGCTATTGAATTGAGGCAAGGAAAGAAATAGTGAATTCAGTAGCTTCTAAAAGGTGAAGAGAAAAGATGGTTGTAAAGCCTAATAAAGGAGCTGATTACACATTTATGAGGTGTGTTTGTGTGTAAACAGTAGTAGACTTTTATAATCTATTTTTAAACAGTATTTTAACTGGTAATATAAGCTAAACTACTGGATAAGAAAAACAAGCAACAGAACATAGTCTGATACAATTGTAAAATCAAATGACATGACTATAACAGATAATCTTAAAAGAAGGTAAACTATAAACCCCTCCCTGATTCACCTAATGATACACTGAAAAAGAAATTTTCTCTTCAAAATACGACTGACAAACAGAAAAGATTCAGCTAGGAGTTTTCCTTCACTGATATTTTCATTTGAGGAGGAAAGGGATAGAAGAAAACAACGGAATGACAGCTAAGAAGTGTGGACGTCATTTCAGCATTGGTAACTAGGCTAGTGTTTTGTCTTCTAATTTAAAACAAACTACCGATCAATCACTTTGGGCAAAAAAAGTAGAAATATACGCTTATAGAAAACAAGTAGTAAGGGGAACTGTATAAATAACTTTGAAAAATTATGCATGGAGCACAGTGAAGAGTGAACAAGAGTGCAAAACGTTGTTAAAGGGTGGATTTCAAATGACTGGCTGAGAGAGATATTCTTCTACGGTTACAACATACTGTGATGACTAGATGTTGTTAATGGTTAATTTAGGATGGTGGTCTGACAACTTCATTTCCTAGAAGATCTTAACTGAGCCAAAGTCTCCCAAACACTATAAGATGGTTGTTACTTTAGAGTTCATGGTTCCACAGTAAATTCCATGTTGAACTGTTCATATGAGTTCTGTATCAACACGCTAACTATGGGTGTTATTGTCTTCTGATACGTTTAGGTAGCATTTCCTCCAATTAACATACGTATACTTCAATGTGAAGTTATAAATGATCGTTGGATATTAGATGAACATTTCTAGATGAAAAAAACTTAGGTATACCAATAAATCGGCATACAATTCTTTCAGACTCTAGGAACTTTTAACTAACGAAAACTACGTTGCTTATTGTTGAAATCAAGTTATGCTTACCAGAATAAAGTCAGCTAAACAGTCTATAGATAGGTGTACACATTACATTTTCTGATTAATACCACTTTCCATTAAATGATCGTGTACATGTTACGTATGCATAAATGATGAGCGAAAGTGTCAGTAAACGGAACATACCTTGTTTAGAAGACGACCATTCAGTAAACAGAATTGTTTTAATTGCTTCACAATTTAAATTGTCCAACGAATTAGTGCTGGTGCTTAAACTACCTGGATGAGAAAACTGCGCAAGATCAGAGCATTTTTCTGTGACAGACATAAAAATAAACCAGAAAAGATAAGAAATAAAACAGTATTGGTTATAAAAGTTTAGGTTAGTAATGACTGTTATTGATATGTACAGTGATGACACCTACTTCATTAGTGCAAAAAAGGGATGAGAGCATTTAAGAATGTCTTCAGAAAAAAAGCACAAGATATGTAAGTTCACAGAAAAATTATTAATACATCGGTGTTATAGGCTTATATATGTGGGGATAAGTAGTATGGTCTTTTCAAATGTCAAAAGTAGGCGAATAAGGTTTGAAACAAAAATGTAAAGCACCCACAAGCAACCATCCTGTTTTATACCACCAACTATTTCATCTGAATAGAAGGGAGACCGAGTGTGAGAGAGAGACATGCTCTAGAGAGAGGGAAAGGGTCAGTGCTTATACATGATACATACCACACAGGCTTTTGTATAGGATACGACTATAAGAAAATGTAAAAAACACACGTTTGTATACACTGTTTTTACTGAAAAAGAGAAAACAAAAACTCGAATTCACCTCAGTGATAAAAGCTTTAAACGTTAGGTGTAAGAAACGGCTCGCGAATGCACAGTCATATATATTTGGAAAAGACAAGCATACTAGCGTATTGTAAGCAATTGAAAGCTAGTCCTATTAGTTTAAAAGGAAATTGTAAGATATTACGAATAACATATAAGGAATAAGAGAAATGCTCCAACATCATATTATACATATATATGCATATGTATGATATGTATGTATAAATCGAGGGAAGCAACAGTTCAAAAGTGGAAAAGGTAAAGAAACTAGAAGAATCAAATCAAAAGGTGAAAATTATTAACATCCTGTTCACTTCTCGATAAAACGCCAACTATAGACGCTAATACCGTTGCTTACTTGGAGACTAAATAGTGAAACACACTGAACTGCTTCAGTATGCGTCGAGGTGCTAACCACTCCTGTCAAGTAAAATGACAAGTCTTCGTTCTGACTGGCGCTTAAAAAACCGTCAACCTTTCTTAGTATTGAAGAGATGATAAGAATCAAATCGGTAAATTCAAAGTAAACACTACAAAGAGTGAGAAAAGAAATCCTCCTTTCAATAGTAATGAGAATTCTAGATTGTTTGCAGGACAGAATCCACGAATCAGATAAATCTGTTTGTTTTATCCCTTAAATTTATTCTATGTACTTCAATTCTATATCGGTGAAATACTTGATCTACTTAATAATTTAGTAAGAATACAAATTTAACATAATTTATCATTTCGCTTCAATACAGCAGTTGCACATGGAAGAAAAAGTGAGAATTGATATTATGATAAAATTCCTGTAGAGGCAGTAATTTAAAAGCCTCCCAGTCATAATAGTATTATTTTCTACAATGCTTGAATAATTGAGAATACATAAGGCTTAACAATATGAGTAGCAACTTAGAGAGGGTGGAAAAAAAAACTCAAAGCAATCTTTAGGAAGGGAGTTAAATGAAATTTGAAAATCGGTTGAAAATACGACCACTTTATCATTATTATTAAGATTCTATTCTATCGAATATATATTCCAATTATTATATGTGCAGTCTGAACCATGTATGCAGGCAGATAGTTGAAGATGTAATGAATCAACTGTTGGAAAATCATAGTGGAATGGCTCAATCGTGTTCACATCAAGCACATAGTTTCATTTCTTAGCACGTTCCAGACTCTAAGTATCTTTACTTAATTAGTTTCTTCCACAAGCTTAAATTTCCACGTCAAGACATCAGCCTTTCCGTGTTTACGTACTTTGGCTATGATCACAGCTTTAATACAGAATGACTGTCTTAAGTTTTATTAATCGGTCATCTTTTAAATAATACTGATATCAGCTTTGAAAGAATGCAAAAGAAGATCCTTAACATAAAAGAAACAGGATCCGCACTATACACCTGATGATCATAGTACAAAAACTAGCTGGTTCAATGAAAACCAAACCATAATAGCTATGATATAAAGAAATCGATGGAGCTGCACATAGGGAGAAGGTGAGGCAACGGATTCTAATTGCTACTATTATTTGTCTCCTGCTTTATTAATCTGATAAGGTTAAACAGAAACTTCGGCAATTGCATAAAGTGAATTTGAGAACTGCATGCCACAGGATATCCAACTTAAACACTATCGACGTAGGTTTTTCTTTCACAACTTTGATTTTGCTTACAGATGGCCGTTAGAAAACATTTAGCTAGATAGTGTGTGCTATTGGCGCTAATATTTACCCAACTCAAGATAGAAATCCTTTTTGTGGAAGAAAGTAGTCAACCTATCATTCTGTAATGTCATTAATTTCATTTGTAAAAGCATTTACAGCTATATCTATTAAGATATCACTTTTGTGCATTCACTGTATTTCGTTCATCTTCATACTTGTCAAGTCGAATAGCAATTACAGTGTCGAATTTCAGGTTGTTACTTTCATTGACTTGTTGACTATTAAGTTATATCACTTTCCAGCCTATAAAAATCCCTTTTGGGTTATTGTATTAATGATCTTTTATCCTCTTATTGCTCAATAATCCATCATTATTCGTTTCATTATTTATCGAGCGGTTGCAGATGATCAGCACGTTGAGACAGTGCAGAGTCTGATCTCCAAAAATGATTATAGGGTAAGAAATGAAAATAAAAGGGAAAGTGTAGAATAGCACCCACAGCCAAGAAACAATCTAACAATGGTTAGGACATTTATACGTATATTGGTTAGTTGTACTAAAAAAAGACAGATCATGCAATCTAAAAGATAAGAAAAGATTCATAATAATAATAATAATATTAATAATGATAATAATTAATAATCCATATAAGATATATGGTCACCCTCTCCTCTCAATCTTTTACACTTTACACACACACATACACAAGCTAAAAATTAAAACACGTGTAATTAGCAAACCATGAAGTGATAGAAGAAAATGCAATTAAAAAAAATGTTAACCAAAAAATAAATAAATAAACAGAGCATGGAGGTTATTACTGCATCTATAAACTGGGTTATAGATAGCCAGGTTCAAAGCAATCTTTATGAAATAAGAACACCTCTGGAAAGAATTAAAAACTTTATTACAAAGAGGAGTATAAAACAACCACACCAACACCCACACATGAACAGACAGTCGAAATCGCAACCACGTAAACCCATAAAGAATACAGTAAAAACTGGACAACCTGAGGAAGGATTTTGCGCATAAGACGTTTGTCCTTGTTGACGAGGTGGTTGGTTTGTTCGACAGGCCAGCACCACTATTAGGAATGGATGGACATATAATAGATCAACCGATTAGACTTCTAATAATTACACTGTAAGCGATGAAACATTATTTTCGTGTCAGAAATAGTCTTATTTGAGAAGAATTAACAGAACTATACCTTAAAATACAATAAATTCACTTTAGTGTATTGGTTATTTGCTTTTAAAACAGCTTTATTTATTGCTTCAAGCGCAATTAGGAGGTAATCACTCCTATACATACAAGTCAAGACTGAATCACAGAGAACTTAATGTTGATTTCAGTTACCCTGAAAGTTACAATGACGTGATAAAGAAATGAGCTGGTGTGACCCATAATCGCTCAATTATTCCACGAAATAATGGGGTAAGCAGAAGATCCTATCACACAGAAACCCCTAAGATATAAAAATTTAGTTTACGTCGTTAACTTATGTTGAGAATAATCATGTTGTTGTAAGCCCAACACACACCTATACTGTGTGAATAGCCCTCTTGCAAAACTTTGGAAACATGTACTAGGATATAAGTCAGTATCTTATTTTGCTTTATAGAGCTTAAATAGATTAACTTGAATTGTATTAATTGATCATTAGGCCAAACGCATCACGTAAAAATTATCACTTGCTGTGTATGCCAATAGTGCAGGAAGTGAATAGAAATCAAGAGATAAGGCAAATAAACTAAACTAAATTTGACTGTCAACAGATTTAATATCTTCTAAGTCTACTGCTAATTCTTACTGACTAACTAAGTGCATTCTTCACATTTTCTGTCCGTAAATGATACCAGGTAATTGCTGCAAACACAATAGTCCAGATAAATTAACTGGTGAAAGATCAATAAAAAATCGGACTGGGAGATGATTGATGTCCTCTACTTACCTGGTGAATGCATGATGATATGCATCGATTTGAATTAGCAAAATAAAATATAAAATAATACGAGACAGATTTCAAGCTAAGTGTGAATACATCAATCAAATTAAGGTGTCGGGAGTTTAAGATTTTGTCAAAATTTATCATGATGTTGACAATGTCAGTTTAATTTGAGAAAAAATGAAGGATAGACTAATGTAATTACACAAAGGAAATGAGAAAAAGCCTAATCAAGTGAAAAACTAAGATGATTTATAGTAGCCTGATGAGGTGGATAACTTCCTCTGCAAAAGTGGTATTTTATGCTAAGTACGTTCCGTAGACAAATAACGCGTTGATATTGTGTATTCTCACTAGACTATGAACAATAAATTGTGCTTGAAACGTCATCCAGTGGTTAACACTATCAGTGTGTGTATGTGTTGTATCAAAAAACTTATAAATATAAATTGTATTGTAAAACCCCAACTCTTTAGTTAGTGATGCTAGTTTAAAAGTACAGAAGGAAATACGCACATCTTTGTTCAAGAGAATCACTTATTATTCTCATCTTCAAAATCTGAAGCAAAGCAAATATATTTTCAGTTTTAATACTTGTAAAACAAAAGTAGCAATTATGGTAAGATGTTGTTCTTGATTTACAAAAATTTATGCAAAGAACTAGTTGTAAGGAATTTTCGGATTCATCCTCCTTCTATAGAATGGTAAAAATCACCTACCGCCTAGAAGTGAAAATATCTGTTGCTCTGCTGAACGCTTACATACAAAGAAGTGAACAAAACACCTACAGTTAACACGAGTGTATTACACCCAAATTTCATAAAACAATCAGGGTCATCAAGTGAAAAAGTTAAGCGTTCTTTTGAAAGCAATCGATAGACTTTACACAGTCTGTGAACAACTGTGAATTGTGGTGTAAATATTATTCTGAAGACTAACTAATCAATAAAAGCAATTTTCAGCTCTAATGCAAGCGAGATTCGCTTCCTTACAGAATTGATGAACTAACTGAGATTTAAAGTCGAGGATGGGATGGTCAGCGATGCGGAAAATGAAATTTAATGAAAACATTGATAAGTATTATGATATTGCAGCATAATGGCAATCAGTGGGTTATACGGATTTGAGCACATCTAGTAGATGAAATAAGGATGAAGACATATTTCATATATATATATATATATATATATATATATATTATGTGAGTAATTAACTAATACTTTTGATTTACCTAAAAGCGAAATTCTCTTGTGACAGACAAGATGGTTAATACATCGAACAGGTATCTAAAACATTTTCTCCATAAAGCTATAGAAGGCCATTTGTGTGTCAATTATCTGCCTAATTGTGAATTATCATCAGTAGGCATCACTGTATCAGCATGTTAAATATTTCCGTAAAAAGGCAAATACTGAATTAAGTGATGCTCAAAACTAAAAATCAATCAAATCGCTTAGTAATTATGAGACAATACCATTTCTCATAGTTACTATAATTATCCCTGAGATTGGAATAAGACTAAAAGTAAAGTACACATGATTTACATACCCAAAGAAAGATGAAAAATCAAAAACAAGATCTGAGAAGTAAATAACAAGCGTAAACAATGGAATGGTTTTACTTAGCACATATAAGAATCAACCAACCGACCTTGAGACTTTGCACGCTTCAGTTCACCCTTGACAGCTGTAGCTCTTGTCAGCACATGTCGCGTTGCATAAGTGCTAACAGATGATTCACTGGATTGGACAGCATCTGAGATTGAATGGGTGGTTTTCAAGGTGGACTGAGTATTCGGACTATTCGTGTTAGCTAGTGAAGTTGAACCACCTGAACAGTTATTCTGTTAATTCACAGGTGACATTAATATAAGAGGAAAAGGGAGATAAGTAATATATGTAGTTAACCAATATGAATAGATGAAGCGAACAGTTCAAGTATATGTGATAAAGCTGTTAGTAGATGTAAACATTAAAAAAGAACAGTAGTAACAGAATACAATAAAAGGATAATTCTCACTAAGAAATTGTATGCAAGACAACACAACAGTGGAACACACAAACATGGAATTGTACATTGCGTGCTGAATTGAAAAAAATGGATATCATGCCATAGTTAGTAGTAGTAAATAACTCAAGCGATATAACAGAACTCACTCACAAGCAGTCATCAGAGGACTAAACGTTTTCAACTGACTGGCAGATTCATGATGCATACGCCTACAAGGCTCATGACTATGATTATTATGAAGAATTGGAATTTGATGTTGATGATTATTCTTTGTCAATTTATCGTATGCTCGAGTTAGGATATCGTCATCTTCAACATCATTACCGGTGACTTTCAGTGCATTAGGTACTGCAGTATCATTTAATCTACCATGCCCAGATGTGACTGTTGGACAAGAAAGTAATCGATCATATGTACGAATAGAATGAGTTGTATTTGAAGAAGTTAATCTTGAATTGTCCAAAGATGGCGAGTGACTCGTACCAGGGCTACAGGAAGCAGGCATAAACTGTTTCTTTTTATGTCCAAAAAATTTATGTTTGAAAGTGTCAGTAGAATCACGATGGTGATGATGACGATGATGATGACTTATAAATGGATTTGCCATAAGATTATGTTCAACAGCCGAATTCAATGTCACAAAAGATGAACTGTCACCGGATATAATTGGCTTCAGACTGAAACACTATGATTTGACCGGGAGTAATAACAACATTGAAAGGATACTTGAAATCAAACGACATGTATAGACAACAATACTAAAGATAGTATGAAACGCTTGAGACAATAGGCATATATATTCATGCTGACTTAATAAAAAAACACTTACAACACATAAAGACTATCTAAAGTCAAACTAGTTCACATAAATATAAAAAAGGTATTATATATGTATGACACAACAGCAACACATAAAACCAATGAGTACGAAACAGAGAAAGTTTTCTATCTTGAGTGCATAATATCATTTAATGAGGATTTGTTTTAGGATATGCTGAAATAAAAATTAGCTTTCAAAAAAGGGTTGGCAGCAATGAGCACAATGAGCTTCAATAAACCATATTATCTAACACAATAGACAAACGAAAATTAAGTACTACTGAAATGAATTTGAGCTCAATGGCATTACAGTTTAAAAAATAAGGAGTAAGGAGACCGTGTTTTTAGTTCTTAGCAAGAAGTATCCACAACTTTGAGAAATGTTAAGTTTTTACCAAGATGCATAGCCGTGTTTTATGTCCCAGTATCTCCAGGTTAAAGAAAATTTAATCTGTCATTTACAAATTTCTTTAGACTACAGTACATGTCTGATGTGGTAAATGGTTATCAATATGACAAGTAAAACAACACTATGTTATATGCAACTGATAATAATCTGATGCCGTTCTCTGAACAGAATCTTAACGGGTAAAGTGCTGATATGCACAAGACCAAATAAGCCAAATCACCGTTAGGTGTTCCAATTGACTAACAACCACTACTGGTTGAAGTTATTGGTTTCCAACTATCCACGTCATGTTATTCAGATTACGACTGACCACCCATAAGACTGAATTCTATATATATATATATATATATAAATATATATCAAATGGTTAGAGAATTGTAACTAAAGTATATGTCTGGTTTTAAATGCTATTCGACGTCTATCGATAAGATTTAGTGAGGAGATAAAACTCAATTAGCTGTTTAATTTTTCCACATATAATTTAGCAGTAAGAAAAAGAAGAAATTTAATTAGGAAGAAATGACTTTATTCATCATTATCTTCTGACAAATCTAGGGCGAAAAAAATATCCATTTCTTATTTCGAAATGAACCAGACAACTTTACTTCAAACCATAGTGTGATTAAAGAAAAAGGTAGACTAAAAGTGAGTTTTACTGCAGAAAACAACGTGATTATAATCAAAATGTTTCAGAGTATATCGTATTTACGTCATAGAAAGAAACTGTTTTGAGATATTAACAGAAGTAGTATAAATTCATATTGCTAAACATATATTTATATTTGCAGCTATACGTTCGCATATTTTACGTGATCAATTTGAAGACTGTTAGTATTTGAATTGAAACAGTTTGCACCATTGAATACAACTATCATCATTTTAAATTATTTAATTCACAGTTTCTCTTTGTACTTTCCATCGTTCAATAGTTACGCTCTCATTTCTTTTTTTACAACAGTCAGTATCAGTTTCAAAATGAACACCTCAGTTAGGCTTCTTACAGCAGTCAGTTACAATGTTATAATTCAATGAACAGGGATACATGCATTCCACTTCACTTTATCTTCGCCTTTATTATTGTTACCACCACTATGATTTTAATTTTTGACAACACTTGTTCTACTTTAAAACTGGTAATACCAGTTCGTTAATTTGATAATCTCTGAAAACTTTGTTATTCATCCGTTTCAACTCTACCCCCTTGACATCATAATAATTATCTTTATTCTTATTGTATGCAATATTGACTGAGCAATGTTTTACGCCACTTAATGCTTTTATCCGTCATATATATATATATATAAAAGAATGTACAGCTTGAAAATGAAGTCACTCAAAAGAAAGGAATAGTTTTTCGCTGAAGAAAACTGTGTTTTTTCCCTATTAGTGAGTAAATGGGTATACTTCATGACTGCAAACATTGCCAACCGTGGATGCGAACAAGTGTTGTGAAGCTTTCAAACATAAGTGATTCTACTAAAATAATATTCAGCTATTTCATGAACAGAGATTTAATTAGTGAAATGATCTGTGGTAAGATGCGTATTCACACTAATAAGCAGACAAACCCCACAGATAAGCACATGTGAGAGGGAATACACGTTATGGATTTCACTAACAAAAGATATGAATTAGTTACTTCTTTACAATAGCTAACTACTGCATACATGAACATCAAATACAGAAAAAAAGAGGAGTTCATTTAACATTAATTCTGTGGTACATTCGAATTTCAAGTATCTAACACACTAGAAAAGGAAATGGAGTATCAAAACCTATTTCATAGAGTAAAAGCATAAAACCATACAAAATTAAAATTTTCACAATTACCTGATCACTGAATTTCACCTCATTTGCACCAGTCGATGCAAACGGATTAACAGGGCCTCGACCTGAAAAGTAATAGTTAATATTCGAAAAGCCAGCGATTAATTAACATCAGAAAAATATGATATAAAAGAATGTACAAACAAACCTGCATGTAATATTATTAACTACTGAAAGGAAACAATTTCTAATTCTATTTCTTACAACACGTATGCCGTACAATCAACATAACGGTGAATATTCATTCATCTATCAATAGGTGTTACCATATGCCAATGAATCACTAGTAATATCAACAAAAATTTATTTTATGTTCTTCTATTAAACAGCTATAAAAAGTATGAATTATTATTCAGAAAAACAAAAAAAGGTGGGCATCCCAGGGTGACATGTAGGAGACCATCTGAGAAAAATGAAAGCTTGTGGGCGATCATGAAACAAGTTTAAAAAAATGACAGAAGAGAACAGAGGGAAGTGGAGATACACTGCTGCAGTTCCATGTCTCACTCGGAATCAAAGGGATAAATAGTAATAGAGGGGATTAGTGGAAGATTAATTCTACTTCTGAAACACAAGTATATATATGTAACTATGCCGACTGGACCTGAAGTGGAAGTTGCTTTAATGTTAACTGACTAAGAGTCCTTACTATGACCAAAGACAATGGTGGATTACGAAAAGGAGACGGAAAAAATGCACCAGCAATATGGAGGTAGATACTTAGTTCAGGGGAGTAGGAAAAACTTTAAGAAGAATACAGCTACAGTAAATTCGTATATTAAACCACTTGATTGCTGCACAAAAGCCTTCAGCGAGGGGATTAACTGTAGTTACGTAATAACCAACTTCAACACCGAATCTAAGAGGATTGTTAATAAGGGTTGTCTATAATTTAAAACGAGGCGGAGAAACAGGATATGATGGCACGACTTTAGAGGTGAATAACTATGTAGGTGATAACTTCTTAACAAAATTAACAAATGTATTACTTTGTGTGTGGAAATTCAAGACAGTTTCACCAAAACAGTGTAGAATTTTATTCATCGCTGACTATAATCAAGATTTAAATATTTTAGTGATAACCACTAAATGGAACAGTTGTATGGATATAGCAACTAACATCCTAGATTTTCATAGTGAAATAAATACGGTACACCAAACGTAACCATAAAATTTGAATATCTTTAATAGTCTTGACTGGATTATTCTCTCTGCTACACATGTTCATCCACTGGTTCATGAATACATTTTTATCCTCAATCTTTATGTTATTTTACAAAATGAAACTGATGAATCCGATTCGCACGTATAGGGACTTTAACGTTGATCTGCCAACTGTCAAACAAATAACACAACGAGGCATAAGGAGTGATTTCAACTTTGAAACCATTAATAAGAGATGCAAGGTAGTGCCTTGACGACTGAGCTGTAGACGGAACGCTGATACGATCCAGGTCTCTCCAAACTTTAACTTCTTATTACGGCTAACAGTATGCTAAGAAAACAGTAGGATTGGAATACTTCGTCTCTGCAATAGAAGTGTATCACTTCAAATCGTTGCACTTCGTAAATGCACAAATAAAGAAAGAGAAATGAAATGTAATGAAATTTGAGTAGAAGGAAATGTCCAGCAGTAAGAATTAATCAGATAGAAAATAATTAAAGTTTAATGAATCTGTAAGGTGAAAAAGACGTCTACAGAAATTCGCTGAAAAGAAGGCCTCCAACGAAGTGCAACAATTTTTCTATCTTGGCTGAATAAAATTGAGAGTCTCACATCTTAATAATTAATGAGGTTTGAAATATTGGTAGGAAACGAATCTGAATGTGCAATTTTAATGCAAAAGTAATGAATAATATACGAAGAAAAAGGACAGTAGAAAGTAGAAATGCTTATACTTTGAACAAGCCAGATTAGTAGAAAAAACATAGAGGCAGCAATACATAAAATAGATAGTAAGAATTAGTTAGACGTAATTTCTCTACTGTTGACTACATATATTATTTTCAGACAGGCTTTCTTTGTTGCTTCGCTATCCAACGTAGTTTTTATAAACAGGATATGTTGCTGTTTGACTTTGAAGCTTTACAACATCTAACTCTGTCGGCATAAGTTAGAAATATAGTTAGCCAGGCTTATGACGGTAAATGCACACTACCAACTTTTTCTTTCCTGAAGTAACTGAAACCACTATTTTAGAAAAAAGGTAAATCATACCTTTATATTTCTTTCTTAAAAAACTTCTAACACCACATACCGCGATAAATCCAATGCTGGATATATCTCTTATAAATTCTCCCACTACTGTCCGACACTAAGTACAGCACTTGTAAACATTAACACAAGCCGATTACTTCAAAATATTTTAGTTGGCTTAACAAAGACTCATATATCTGCGAGTATCTGGAAAACGCAATGCTCTTACTCTACATAAATTAAAATTAACGATAACTAACTTACGCAAAAATTAATTCTAGACTCCTCAATGCACTGTGAGAGCACTGAGTTCAAGACTATTTTGTAAACTTTCTTAGGTGAAAACAGTCGTTGCGTTTAGTGAATAAAACTGTGACATTACTATTTTTGAGTGCGTCTTGATACAATCCAGTAATTTATCGAAAAATTTATTGACTTTTATGTTGAGATCCGAGTGGAGCGTTCGGCTTCATTGGTACATCTCCATTTCATCCTGTTCTCTGCAGTCCTATTCAGCTGCCTTCATGATTGCCTATAGGCTGTTGTCTCTTCCTTACACGATTTACTTTGTCATTCTTCGACGCCTAACTCGTCGTTCCCCATTCGAGTTCAACTCGAGGGTGTGGTAACCGATGCAACTCAGGGGGTCTCCTCAGAATCTGTCAAGTTTATCTTCATTTCACTCGGCAGCAGGTTTTTGGTTGGTTCGTTCACAGAGTTCCTAGTTGGTAATCCCTCCTGGACAGCTAATCTTCAATAAAGAGCAAGTGAAGGTAGCTGTTGATAAAAGTCTTCAGCCTGTTGGAAATGTTTGAGTGGCGTTAGCATAAATGTTGAAAATTCGAATCTTGCTTTCGATAAGGATGGCGGCATATTACCACACTGAATTCAGAGTAAAGAATGTCTTTCTGACCCAGTGCTGCCTTTATAACTTGATCCGTATAAGTCATTCAGTGTTTCAGACTTCCATAGCTTTGGCGATCTTTACGTAATGCATTATATATGATAAAACTTATTGAGGAATAGTGTCAGTGAGGCGACTGCCAACAGTTGCTTTTGTATCAAGCTGTGTAATGATGACAGTCGCAGTTATGAACTATACCTACTCGTCCTGCTTAATAAAATGTCTCTCATTCAACTTTATAATTTGAAAAGACTAGAATTCACATTTTTACGAAAACAAAAATAAAATAGATGTTCCTTATTAATTCACGTGCAAACTACGTTAGGCTTTAAGAATCGATCAATGAAAACTCTTCACTTAATGGTTGATAAAAAAATAACATCAAAATGTGAAAATAATAATGATACTATCCTGAAAAACAAATAAACAAACGAAGAAGGTAAAATTCAGAATTCTCCCGAGTTAGTGTTTGTTATTTGGAGCACAATTGAAATGTGGAGAGAAAGCTTAGTATTTAGAGTTGATGAATTAGCTAAAATCAGGGCGAATATTAAATTTTTTTGTAAGAGAACTAAATTCTATTGTCCATTTTACAATACTGCAGTTTATACTGGTAATATAACTTAATTTTCGTCGCTTTTTGATAAAATGACAAACTTTCAATAACGACAATAACAAAAATAACAAGAATGAGCCCAACTGGCTATAAAATTTTAATTATATAAGGAGAAGAAAGGGAAAAGAAAAAATTATTCAAGCGAATGAAAAGTTATGCTTAAATAACCAGTGTACTTTTCTACATACGAAAAATTTTAAAAAAGGCACTTACTCAATATATCAGACGAAGAAACAGACACTAAGCAGAGCCTATGGACATAGTCAATAACAGCAATACCGAATTCACTTCCAATAGCCATTCTGTTGAGGGAACAAAAATAAACAATAATGTGCATATTAGTTACCCTATCTCACAAAGGTTGTATACTGTCTGTCTGTCTGTTTTCGACATAGAACTTTGCACCGGTGTGCAGCAGTTCAAGCTGCCCCTCTCCATGCAGCAGACGAAACAAGAGAGAAGAAACTAGAAGAAATGCATAATAGCGACAGTACACAGGGATATGAGACAAAGGAATAGTAATAACGAAGAACAATATAGTCTTATTCGGTATTATAAGTCACAAGGAGTGGATGCATCTGCACCAGTCACTGAGAACGATTTTGAGACATATCACCAGTTGTCTCCAGCCATTAGTGTTTACCACCACCCCCCGAGGACACTAACCAGGAAGTCTACATCTTCATACGTGGATTTCATTGACTGATGAGGCCACGTTTTGGTTTGACCACCACTGACTCTTTTCCAACCTGACCCTATGTCAGCTAGCATTGCCCGTCGAGGAAGGCGATGGCTAGGCACGCATAACACATGCCCTAACCATCTCAGTCGATGCAACTTCACAGCCTCGTCGATTGATTTCCCCTCCTTACCTAGCACTCGACCGATGCCTAACCCCAATATTGCTCTCCCTAATTTACCATTTCACACGGGAGACAGAACGCAGGCACCAATGATCAAAGACAGCTAGTCCTTTCATGTCTTCCACTCTCAATGGCCAGGAAGGTTGTATACTAAGCAAGTTAAGAGAAAAGAATGACAGACCAGATGCATATATATACATATATAACTTCTACATAACTGCAAAAGTTAGGTTTATGATGATTAAGATATGAAGAAAATTTGTAGCAAAGGTGTAGCTATGTCTTCTTAACAGGATGCTTCAGTTACGAAGTTTCCATTGTACTTACCAGAAAATATCTGAAGTGCATACTTCATTTTTTTTACACTACTCATTGAATACGTGAGAAAAGATTGGCAAGTCAAAACGCGCCAGAAGAGGCAAAAAAAGTGTGTGGTTCTACCCTTTAGCATTACAACTGGTAGCTACTATCAGGAACACTGTACATCAAGAATACAGTTGTATAAAGGTATATGAAGTTAAAATAAAAGCTGTCACGGGCATAACAATCTTCAAAAAAAAAACAGTTACCAAATACGTGATTTGCGTTAACCCGGTGGGATTGGTTCATATACTTGTGTGACAAAAACCATTAAAAAAAATCTGCATTACTTTATTTATCGATTAGTCTGTACGGATAGAACAATATTCAAAGCGTCATACTAGAAATAAAGTTTCACTGTGATGTGAACGACATCATCAAAACATTGAAGTGAAAAGTTTGAAAGTTCGCAAGGTACACATCAAAAGAATAAACGAAAAGAAATCATCACCAGTAAACTACATAAGCATATCAGTCAAATTATACTAATTATTTAATAAACAAAAATTCTGTATTTATCAATTATATATCAAGCAGTTTTCTACTCCTTTTAACTAATAAATATTTTAGGAGTTATGTATTAACGCATTACTTTCTCCCCGAACGTATGAAAAGAAAAGTAAACTTACAAGCCAAATGCTGAATTCATACTTATAGCTGTAATGGACGGAGGTGGGATAAGACATGAAGCCGCAGGATCAGTAGTTGTTTTAGTATTTGATTCAAAGCTTAACCCAGGTATGCCTACACGACATACAAGCATTGGCTGATAACCAGGTGGCCAGTAAATATTTCCTTGACGTATTGGAACGAACACACGTAAATCCTTTCAAATAAAGAAATAAAAGAAAAATCAATTTCTAATGGGACGACGCACAGATAAATGTTATGTTATGTTAAACGTAAAAGAATGCAGTGACTACCACGTGAATTCGATGAGACGTTGACTATTTTACGCAATAAGATAAGATGTTTAACATTCCACAAACCTGATCCAATAAGGAGCTGACTGTCAAGTCGATAAAGACAAAATATAATTGCGTGTATGCACAAATTAATACACAGATGAAAAATACTAATTTTTAGAGAATAAAGTAACTTGTTATACTCTTTTACGGGTGAATTAATCAATGTGAATACAAAGTTTTCTTTCTGTTTTGATTCACTTAGTCAATAGACCAACCATCTTTTTTTGTATACGCAAGACATTGTAGTAATTATTTTCAAAGGAAAATAAAGCATAAATCTGCAAAATACATAGAGTTAGATAGAGTAATGACAAGGCGCCGAAAATGTCCCACATCTATTTTTTTAAAAAGGATAATTATTACTCAAAACAAATATTACAAAACTGAAGAAAATCACGTTAGACCAGCACGTCATATTACGCCGAAGTACCGAAATCATACTGATAAAAAAGATATCAACATAATCACATCAACGAATTATGTTTGCATAGCAAAAACTGATATTGGTAACTGTTGATGAACTATATATATATATAATTTAATTCCGATACGTTCCGAATGGAACACAGGGCTTCAAGGCAGAGCTTTGAAGTTTCAGTAACAGTGGTATTTTGTTTACGAACTGGGGTTGCTAGCCTCACACCGAAACTTCCCTCTTTACTGACTCTGCTGCCGGTCTAGCGAGGTTTTAGAGTGCACCGGTCTGGGATCGAATCCTAGACCACGTTCGTGGTTGGTAACGTTCTACAGCTGAACCACCGACGCATATATATATATATATATATATATGTTTAACGGCTACTATATACTTAAAAAGCAGTAGTATATTACTTTATAAGTAATTTTCATTACTTATTCGTGTTGAAATCAAACTTTAGCTAGAGGTATTCCGTTTAAGCTTTAACGCTTCATATAAATGTTTATCATTGACTGGTTTAGATGACAAATTTTATAACAATCAAATTCCTGTTCAGTCCAAAGAGGATAATGCATTAAGAGTATTCATGCTACAGCGAACCGTCCTACCAAAGCTTTAGGCTACCATCCTTGATGAAAAAGACTACTTACTCGCATCATAACGTCAGGAGATAGACCTAAAATGTTGCATCTAACGAAAAGTGACGAGTTACTTATAACAGTCTGAGATCATCTTTATTCTAAAAAAACCTCGTTGTCTAGTATCAGCCAGCCTCTCATAGTATTTGTAGTGATGCCAGATGATAATGAAAGCTACCTACTAGCCGATTAACATACTGTACTATTAAATATCAAGATATAGAGGTAAGGGATATATATAGTGAGGAGAGAGAGAAAGAAGGGGTGGGTGGGGAAATCTAAGGAACAACATAATATGACCATTAATAATATCCATTTACTTGAAAATGAAATTACCCTTCAGATACATAGAGGTAACAACAGAGTTAAGGAATGCATTTTCATTTCATTAACTAATCGGCATGAACGACAACTGAAGCATACTAAGGCCTGCATCATCAGAGTCAGGCTAATAGTCAACTAATCAATTATGCAGATTAACTATATCGCCTGAAGACAGAGATTAATTAGACAAGTAGAGAAAGAAAAGGGATGTGGGTTGGAATAGCAGCAACAAATGAAACAGGACCGGTGGTTAAATAAAAATGCAACAAAAACTATAAGAAGAAGAAGAAGAAGAAAAGAATGGCTTTTCCTGCTTCACCGGTTTCACTTGACGTAAATTATTGACTACTTTCAAAGTATATAGAGTAATATAAACGTCAGAAAGAAAGAAATCTGAGATAATTATTAATTTATTTCAAAAGAAGATATGCCTCGTGCTTATTATAGTGGGTTATAAAAAAAGAGAGAAAGTAGAAAGTAGGAACCCGTCAAATCATGTGATAAGGAAATCCCACACATGCGTGCTAAAAAGAGATAAGGATAATGAATCTTTAAAGACTGGAAAGACGGAAGAAAAGTTTCTCCTCAAAAATTTAGCCTTAAATATGCTAAATTGATGGATAAACACACACACTGGAGACAAAATAATTTAACTATTAGAACAAACTAGGCAGTACAAATAACACATTAGGTAATAAATACGTGTTTGCGCAAGCATATATGACTGACACACGTTTGTTTGAGTAATTAACAAAACCGACAGCATTGTATACATTCTCCTATGGGATAACATAATTTACGGTTTATAGCTTCTAAAAAAAATCCTGATTGTTAGACTCCTACAAAGAATGCAGCACAGCTACAAGTAAATGACTGAAGTAAATCACGGCAGAGAAGAATATTCACTGGATCAAATGAGAGAATAAATCATCAGTTGACAGTTTTCCAAAATTTATGCTACTAAGCAATCACTGGTAAGACGAATAAACTCGAATGGATAATCAGAATCACAAAATATAACTATAAATTGTCGAAACAGAAAATACATACTCGTGAATCAAGCCGGGGTTTCTTAAAACGCCTGTTTATTTACTAAAACACGGTCTATTAGCCCAATAACATATTGAAAATAGTTAGTTTACAAACGCTAACGCTGCAGGCACTGAGAACTACAAATAAAAGTATTTTTATTAGTTGACAGAATGAAAACAAATCAAACCAATCGGTCGACTAGCTATGTGAACTGGACAGGAAAAATCTCAAAATATCCACTAATTAGTTTGTTATTTCATTTTTCAAACTGTACTACTACTAGGAATAGTTCGCTTGGAAGTTATCCAACTAATTTTAGGAGTTATTAAGAGTAAGGATGATAGTTTTTGCATGAAAAATCAGTAATTTATCAAAAATATTTGATTTGTATTTCCACGACTCCTATGATAAATTACCTCTGACATAAAATAACTTTGCTTTTTGCCTATTTTATTCAGTAGTAACTTTTGAAATAGGCTTCAGGATATTCATTCATAAACTACTGTATTACTATGTCGAGAAACTAAACTAAAGTAGCAGAAAAGTTTTTTTCACCTACATGTGACGTAAACTTAGCTGGCTTAACTGATTACACCATTTCCTGTCTCCATAGTGACGTATACATCAAATCTGAGAAAAATTGGAATATCTTGGAGTTATAAGTAAGTAAGTAAATTAAAGATATATATACATACATATATGCATTTAAACAGTAATAATTTACTACATAAAACAACATTGTAAAAGAAAATTTCCTCAGTAAGAAAGCAAATGATGTTACCTTTTCTGTAGGAGACAAAGACTGATAAGAGCTGACGCTTCCACTGGATACATGAGGTAGTGACTGCTGAGCATTGTCTTTAGTTGTGTTGCCAGTGAAACTATCAGCAGTGGAATAATGATGATCATCAGAAAACGCATCACCACTACCTCCTGAATAAGTGAAACCTAGATCATCTAACCCATCGTAGGCCATATTGATATCCATGACCTATTTTTTTAGAAAAGAGAGAAAAACAAAAAGAAATGATAACTTGGGTTTTTCGGGTTTGGCAGGCTGAAACAGAAAAGTTCTTTGAAATCACATTTTCTTGATTGCAAAACAATCCATTCGGTTAAAGAGAACGATACTACTTCTAAACAACACTGAAAACATATTTTTTCAAGATAAGGGATATGGATAAAATCACATAGAGCAACAAATCCCTAGGAAATTACTTAAGTAATTTTTCACTTGAGTAGAGTATTATATATATATATATATAATATATGTTGGAACGACTCTAATGAATTATAGAGGATATCACATTAAGCTACTTTATCCTATTATACAATAAGAAATACCAAGTTTCAAGTTCACACCGAATAACAGATGTACCAACAATTAAGCTAACTGACCCCATTACACCTTCGGTATACTAAAGGTAATCAGAGCACAGATAAGCTGGACATAGGGAACAACTCTTAAAAAATAGAACAATTTCCAACACTTCTACAACCTGATAATGAAACCTACAAAAATATAATACAAAATTTGTGGTATTTCAACGAATAATAAGAAAACCCTTGTCAACAAGAAGTTTGTCTTTTTTGCATCTGCACTACACGAGTTTATGATGATGAAACTTAGCCAAAGGTGGAAACATACAAGTTAGAGGCTTTTAATGCATCGAAGATGATTTAAAACTACACTGGAAAATCAGCAGGAGCAATGGCTTCCTCCCAGTTTTTTCTAATGCATCATTATTTATTCACTCCTGCCTTTTGAGTAGAGCATAGAGTTTCAGTGACTACTCCGTTACCTATCATCACTTACAACCTGCTCCGCAACTGTCCAAAAACTTTGGTTTCCACTACACATGATCTTTATAGTGAAATCAGACTCCTAAACCGTCACTTCCTATTTGGATTTTACCCAAGCGCCTAGAGTTTGGTGTCAGTTGAATATCTTTTCAACATACGTCCAGTAAGTCTCCATTTATTCTCATATGTTTGTCGGGCAAACAGGTGTTTGACTGGGTCGCTACAACAGTTCACCGTTACCATTATGTCAATTTACCAATTCACTCATCACCAGTGATGGTCATCATTCTTGAAACTTGAACTAATTAAAGTCATGCATGCATAATTATGCATAAGATTATTGAAATAATAATTCACAAACGCCTTTTCCTTTTACGTCCCCAGTGAAACATACGGCTTCAAGCAGTGGTGTTGATTTTTACCAGATGGAGATGCTAGCCTCATACTCAAAATTCCCTCTGTACCAACCAGTCTTATTACTGGCTTAGCGAAGGAAAAGAGTGAGTCGGCCGGGGATCGAAACCCGGACCACATGCATGGTCGGCGAGCATACTACCTCCGTGCCACCAACGCACAACTGTTAATTAAAATTGCCAAATAAAATGCGCAATAACACTGATATGCGAAGAGAAACATATATTTATGATTAATCATAAATCCTGAATTTTTGTTTTGAGCGAAAAGATATAAAATCAAGTAAAAAACAATTATCCAGCCATTTCCCTCCTTCACTTCATAATAATTAGGCCTGTGTAATATATAGTACATATTGTGGAACACACTGCCCGAAATCTGCACAATAAGATCAGATGATAAGAAAACAAAACAATGAGATAGTTTTCTTTGTTAACAAATACCTTGTATACTTGTCTATGTATATATATAAATGATTTCCTTACTTTTTTAATCACATGAAATCATTTCATCAGTGAGGTAATAAATATTTTCTGCTCACGTTTTCTCATATGATTATCATAATCAGCGTAGAATTTTAGTGAATACATTTCCGTCCTCTTTAGTATTTCATGTTGGTATAATACCAAAAAGAAAATATATCATAAAACTGCAAGACTAGAGAATGATTAGGAACCTGGAAAAGTCAACTATTTAGCCTAAGACGCTATAGACTAGCATAGAGCTTTGTTGAACAAGTGATAATCCGTTAAGAAACCAACGAGGTTACAACGACAAGTTAAGGAGAATACGAACATCCTACCCTCTCTCTCTCTCTCTGCTTAATCGAAACCATAATTAATGATTATACTTCATTTATGCTGACTGATGCACGATTGTAGCATGAATCAGGACATATTTTGGCTTAAGATAAAGCTTTTGCACAAAAATATAAAAAAGTGATGAACAGTGATTATCTGTCATGAATAGACTTCTGAGGCTTCAAATTTGAATGCCAGACCATTATTTAGTCAACAAAAATTGGTTTTATATTTGCGAAAGGAAGCGATATGCTACAAAAATGATGTAAGCAATTTGGGATTTCCGATTCATCAAAAGCACTTTGTGGGATAAAAAGTAACTTGTGTCTGGCTTTAACCTAGACGACTGATTAGTTACACTTTAGTATCTACCATGCTAAAATTCTACCGATGGCTGATCTCACTTTCTTGAAGCGGTTTGATAGGGTCTTCTATGCTAAAGTTTTTCATTCTTCCCCAAGTTATTAAAGAAGATAAAAGCGACAGATTAGCAAACAAAATCATGTCTCAATAAAGAAACTTCATAATTGGTACAGAAGATAGTAAATTACAAAAAAGCACTTCAAGAAGGAAGATATATTGGAAAGGATGCAGTAAACGATGTAAAATAACTGAGATACATTTACGTCATAGTCTAGTTTTTGGATGTATAAATTATAGGGAAAATTGACTAGACGGCCGGACACCGGGACAAATGACTTATCTCTTCATCAACCCAGACCAGGCTTTATGGAATCTATAAACAACCTACGACGGCTAATTTCACTGCATAAAGTAGAATATTTTTTATAAGTTGTAGTACAAGGCTGCAAGTGATGTCCATCAGTAACACGACAGATATAGACTTAAACACACATTCTATCATGCCTGAGTTACTGAGAAGCAACTTCATATTTTGCGGGAAAGTGGAAAGATATGGAAAGTGTACTATCCTTTTTTAAGATTAACAGGTGAATTTTCGATTTACGCATGTGGCGAACCGACTTTTTTGAAAATGTTCTGAGTTGCATTTTGGCTACTTACAAGTAACATGAAACGTTTACTCCAAAATGAGTAAAAAATTTTAAATATAAAATCAAAATTAGACATGAAACAGCGCACTTATACCTTATACACATAAACCGGATATTGCATATCAGAGGTGAGTTTTAACTAGTCTTACCAGTAAATCAATTAACTGGTTTTATGCCTAGAATTATTCTGTTTCCAATGTTCGCCTGGAATGAAACAATAATAGATTTTTTATAGGGCAGTTTAGGACTTGTCAATCATTCGGAAATTGAATGTTCGAATACATCGTCATGACTGTGATGGATGATAAATTGTCAATCAGAAGTATACTCCTAAGATGAAAACCAATTATTATTATTAGTAAGCATGCTTAGAAGAACATCACAAGAACAGTAGCAAATAATCATAAGGAATTAACGTTATACCCTGTAGAATTTCATCTTGAACAATATCCAGAATAAAAGCTGACAATATAAAGCAAAAGACTGGAACCAGAGATACATGAACGACACAGACACTCATGAATCTGGTATTAAACGCCTCACAGTTTGCAAGGAACCAGGGGTGTGCAATTCCTGATTTTTTTTAAAAAGGGAACAATGTGATTAAGCGCTAGAGGAAAGGAAAGAGAAATTCTCACTAATACGACTTCTGTTTAGGGAAACATCTAATCCAGTGACAAACAAGCACAACACTGTGTCTAGACAAAAAATCTTAACGAATGCAAACAGACAAGTAGATAATAATCGAGAGAGGGAGAGAGAACGAAAGAAAGTCAGAGAAAGAAGACATTTTTCAAGTTCATTGAACTGTAAATACAAACAACAAGATATTTTGTAATTATTAAGAACAAGTACTAAATACGAAGCATAAAAACAGTAGACTTTTATTCTACTTGGGTTATGGAAACAAATAGTTTAGATGAGAACCATGACAAGGAAAACAAGTCAATTCTACCCGCTTCATTCATTTATCAAAACAGACAGAGATGTAAGATAATGAATTAAGTGAACTCATACTGAAAAGAAAACGAAGAAAGAAAAAAAACATCAAAGAAGAAGTGAAATAATGCACGCTGATGATGAGGAGGAGGAGAAGAGGAGAAGGAAGAGGGGAAGAACAAACGAGGAGTAATGAGATTTAAAACAATAAATGGGACCTGGAGAATAATTCTGAACCATAAAAAAAGGAAAATATATATTCCAGTGAAACTGTACTTCAGAGTTTGCTTATCAGATAAATCATAGGAAAAGAGCGACAACTGAAAAGAATAGACTTACATATATGCATATACATCTAATGATATGCATACAGAGACAATGAAACAAAAAATGAGAGAAGTTATGCTTATTTATGCGTCTTTATTAAATGAACAGCAAACGGAAGAAAAGAGAATTGAGAGCAGAAAAAAAACACAGAGTATCTTATTTTTTTCATAATTGACAATTAGGAAAACCATCCAGCTATGAAAGAGAAAGGAAAAGTGTAATATGAAATACAGAATGAAGTGAACTAAAAGAATTAATTTGTCCATTAGAAAGAACAACAATATTTACCTTGGGTAGATAAATGGAGAGATAGATAGATAGATAGATGCCACACTGTTCAGAAAAGTTTCGTAGAGCAAACAATGAATATAAAGAACAGAATGTTGGATTAAGCAGTAGGCAAAACAGCTATTATATCAGTCATTTAGAAGTCTTGAAAACAAACAAAAAACGCGTCTAACGACTTCAGGAAATGAAAACACAAACCATAATAATTCCGTGTTATTACCACAAAAGGGAAGGAAGTGAACAAAAGTCAAACAAACAAACCGAACGGCAGGAGATAATATTTCAGACATGAATATACTAGTAAACATAAAAGATAAACTGCTTTTTAACTGTTCATTATTATTTGCTCTGCATAGAATTAAACCATTTAGCGACTGCTTACTGTTAAATGATGGAAGTATCTCGCACAACCAGAAGGCAGAGGAAATCATTACAGAAGTTATGGACTTTTTATGCATTTACCAAAAAGAAATATCACGAAATGATGACACCCAGTTGAGAGCGGGGTGCAGAAGCTCAATTGGTATAACACTGATTGAATTAGTAATCAATGGCCTCGTAGTTAAAGTTTTTGTCTTAAGCAAAATTTCGATTCTACCTTCAGTCACTATCCTATAGGCATCTGATGACTATTAAACAATCTGCTTACTAATCAGTTGGGTAGCACATTCCACGGAGTATACAAAATCAAATAGTTCTTTCACTTTCTTTTAAGTGAAAATTAGCTAAATATTTGATACCCAGGAGGATTGTGATTATTAAATGAGTCACCTGAGCGGGGTACATATGGTCACATTTACCGAAGGTCAAATATATATATATATATATAGGCTTTCAAGAATAGCCTTCAATCAAACTGTTACTACTTTTCCTTTAAAAAAGTTTGATCAGTGCAGCATATCAAGAGTGTCCACCCCCCATGTGAAGTAGTCACTCTAAATTGGAAGTAATTTTTTCTGTTTCTAAGATATCTTCATGTCTGGAATATGCACACAATTTACAGTTAGATTTTCGAAAAGCTTACAAAACGTTACTTTTCTCTATCATCAGTGCATAAACCAGCAAATGTATTAAATGTATGCACATTTGAACAGAATATGAGGACACCAATGTAGGCATAATTTGTTATGTGATTTCGATGCTTTTTGATACAAATTTTATTATTTATTTTCTTAAGGATAATAAAAACTTGTGTCGGGAATACGCATAGAATAAAGGTGTAATACATGCTAACATAATAAAAAAAACTCACCGAAGTTTCCAGATTTATCTCTCGACGACTAAAGTACAATAAGCAGGTATGCGTACTGCTAGCGGTTAGTAACTTTCTAGACTCTGGACAGAAATGCATATATCGTATAGCAAAGGGATCAGATTCTGTTGCTAATAAAATTGGTGAGAATTGAGCATTTATATCCTTTGTATCCGAAGGCGAAGTGCTGCCTGTTTCACATGTATTATTTGCACTGAATGATGAATTACCGAAAAGTTTCGATGTACGAAACTTATACAACGGTGTAAGCGTTACTAAGAGAGAAAGTGGAATAAAAACCGGTGTACAGTAATTAAGAGACTCCATGAAGAACAATTTAACGGCAAAGTAAAAACAATGCGACGAAAACAACGCAAAATTCAGATTTATAGAATAATTAGAAGTATTATTATACAGTTATCAATACATATTGAAAAGAGTTACACAAAGATAACTGAATGAATCCTCATTAAATGAACTTTTTTTTCCTGTTCGATAGCATTCATCTAGTTCCAAGTGGAACACAGAGCTTTAGGCTTGAAGCGTCGGATTTTCAATAACCGTGTTGTTTCTGTAGAGTAAGATACGTTTGTATTTATTGATCGAATTCAATATTCGTGCCATAAGGAGTAATCATGAATTTATTTTTAAACTCAATTTCAGATATATGTCCGAAGTCAAGATAACAACACATGTGTGCAAAAAAAGCCAATGCGAAAAGACAACCCTTATTATAACAATCCAAATTGATCATCAATATTTTATATTACTCAGAAACATGCAATCAGCGTACTCAAAGCTACTACACCTTTCTATAAAGTTGTATCGAAATCAGTCAAATCAAAGAAAATCTGTCATTCATGTTTAAATTATTACCACAGCCTTAGAACTGTCGGTTAAATACATGGCGAAGAACAGCACGTATTAACAAGATTAGAAAAACCTTCTACACAAGCGAAAAGCTTGTGATTGAATTGTGAGGAAGGCTGAAGACGTATACTGAAAGAAAACTGAAAATTGAACTGTTGACTAATATTAATGAGATATTAATTTTGCACTGAGATGGTATTTTTTTTCATATCTCTGTTGCACTTTATTCATATAAAAGACACATTTTACAGCTGAGGGACGCATGAACGATTCCAATGTATATATATGTATCGTATTTAAAAGTGCTTAATGAACAGTTGACTGATGCTTTCATAACTAATAAACACCTTCTTTAGTGTGTATTGTCATTCATCTAACTTTATATTTAGTACATCACATAATTTCGTTTCCTTATGCATAAGGTATATGTCTTTGACACGATAACGGGATTATCCAAATAGTTCTAAGCCTAAACAACTATCACATAACAAACGACAGATAATTCTAAAATCTAATTATCGTTATTACTCACAGAATCGATTCAACAGTGTTTGCAAGGACAAAACAAACTGCTTTATCAGACACACGAGAGACATACAGTATAATAAATATCCTAAACAGGTGAATTTACCAATCAATATTCAGGATATTTTGATGCAAAAATTTGTGCATTCACAGTTTGGCTACTGTTGCTAGTTACTACATAATGATCCTGTTTTATATTCATACTCTACATAGAGCATCACGGAATGTAGAACAACTTCAAAATTCACTCAGGTTTCTACTTGAAGACTATAAAGAGATGAAGTAAATGAATGGTAACGATAGTCAATAATCATCTGTTTGAAAGCTTAACTTAACAGCAGTAGAAAGGGATTGAAGTCAATATAGAAGATAGTGATTTCTCATAGTTAACTTAATTAGCTATTTAGTTAGGTTAAACAATCTACGATCAGTTATAACATGAATATTGAATCAGATAAATTGAAATCTAGTCCTTCGTCAATCCTTCCTTCCTTCCTTTCCTACTGCTTTTATTTCAGTTGACATTTTCAGCACAAGGTGAAAGTACCCGGAAGTATGACCTATTTTGATGCAATTTTTTTATTCAAATTTCAATTATTTTTGTAAAATAGTTTAAAAAAAAGTTGTCTCCCAATATGGAGGAAAAAGAAGACATAAACTAAAATCTGTTCTTTTAGTGGATTAATCTATCAGAGTCAATTATGGCAGGCATTTACTGCAAAAAAAGGTTAAACACAATGTCACACTGAATTTAAAGAAACAAAAATGTACCTTCGGATGCATCCCAAAATCGAACAGATCCATCAGCATGTCTAAAAAAGACGAGAAGAATTGCTTTATTAAGATAGCGGACTTTATATTCACGTTTGAAAGCACAAAAGTGTTAAATTCTAACATGCCTTAGAATCTGTATTCTAAGAATTCAACCATATCTTGAAATTAAAAAAGTATATAGAAGGAAAGGTCCCACATGTCAAGTGGCACGAAAAGCTCACGTATAACGATGGAGCTGATGCATAGAATTGATATTAAAAGGATATACTTATCTAACCATATACATTTCCATATTACCGAGAAATCAAATCTTTTTCTTTCTCCGTAATTCACTAATATTCCGTGCTTCACATAAGATTTTTACCACAGTTAAAAAAGTCAGCACTTTACTTTTTAACAGGTGAATTTTCAAATGTGAAAACAGTCAGAAAACTAATGCATAATACTGTCTCATGCCTTGAGTTTTAAGTGAAAAATAAGGTTTCAAGACGGAAGCATTGGAGTTTCAGTAACTGTAGTATTGTCAGCCTTACACCCGATCTTCCCTCATTTCTAAGCTTCCTATCAATTAGTCAACTAGAAGGGGTTTAGGAGTGCATCGCTAGGGAAACATGTGCGTGGTTAGCGAACATTCTACCAAAGAAGTATCGGCGCACTAGGATGATACTTATATAAAGGCGATTTTGATTTCAGTTAAGCAGAACACTTGATGCCAGAGGTAATTAGTTTAGCCACTTCATTTACAAGCAATAAATCGACAGACTGAAATTCAAGCTGCCTGCTCTCCAATAACCTTAGCCTCAACGACCGCTGCGGATTCTTCTCAACAAATTATTCAGCTTTTATACTGCTACAAAGTGACACGCATCAAAATGAAGCGCTTTCATAAAAGAGATTTATATAGTGTTTACCTTGTCTTTTCATGATACTTACAAATACAAATAACTTTCTAAGTTAGCCTTCTGTCAATATTGAAGTAAACGTTAAGACAGCATATATATATACTCAAATTATTTCGTTATTTCCTCGTAATATGAGAATGATATGAACACTGTTCATTGAGCTTTCGCATAAATAAATTTAGTGTAGACTTGTAGTGAGGAATTTTCTATTTACAGAAAGGAACAAGCAAACAAACAAACACTGGGATTTGTTTACACTCTGATTCTGTAATCTAAGGAATTAGTGAACACTATCTCTGACTGATTAAGAATGTCAGTTCATCTTTATTCAATCCACATAATTAACGAATGATAAACGAAACAAGAACAAGAAGGAAAAGAACAACAACAACAAAAACAATAACAACAACATGATTTTGTCTATGTTGTTGCAGCTTAAACAAACAAACACACACACATTATGCTTTAAGCAGCTAATATGATAACTCAATAGTCTCTTATACGTGAATGAAAAGAAACAGGTTCTTTAAATCTCTTTAGCTTATGAACAAAAGATATTCTCTTTCATGTAATATCGTAGTGATCACTACGAACACTAAGCATTTGGTATACTGCTGACAAGTTAAAATTTATATTTATCCTCATCTTGCATAGACAACACATCTTTCCTGTAAACACTCATATAGCATTACGTTTATTCCACGCAAGATTTTCGAATTATTAGCAATAAGACAAGAACTGAGAAACAATTTCAGTCACAGTTTAGTTCTCTATCAAAAATAAAATCACGATTTTTGGAATACAATTAATGAGGAAGACTTGCTCTCCAAGCCGCCGATTCCATCATTATTTTACTGTGGAAAACAGTTGATTTTCAAGTATTGGTTTTGTATGGATTTTTGTTTGATTGGTTAGGGGATTTCATCATGAGCTGACATCAGTCAGAGAACCATTGGAAAACCTGCAAGGAGTACTGGATAACGATTCCGTCCCAGTTTGGGACTCTTCATCAGTACGCACCCAGGACAGTTGGGATTAGTCATTTGAATATCTGCTCGTAGTTTAAGTGTCCTTTTATCCCAACTACGTTAGTCTATCAAAGGAATAGTATCTGTGACTTGCAAATCCATAGTCAAATTTTTAAGAAGTCAATGAGATGTCTTTTTGGCATAGAATTATGAAGCGAATCACTTTTTTTTAATCGGAAAATATAAGTTGGTGACTTTAAAGGAAAAGGGAATTAGAATCATAAGTACAGCCAAACTGATCACGGGATCTTCAGGTTATTTAACCTGCTGTTTGGTTTTCATTACCTTTAATGAAATAACACATGCAGACAAGTGTGATCACATAATAACAGTCTCACTATTTTTAGTCATTAATTTGAGCTCAATTAATAAACATTAAACAACATACTCCGTATTAGGAGTCGTACAAAAATCTAAAACTTCTTGATATTAAGACTGAACAATTTCGTACTGCAACAGAGATATTTGCAAAGCAATGATAACAACGAAAGCATATATACAACTTTTGCTTTTCTTACAACTAAACACTTCTTAGTATTTACGATCGTGTGTGCATTACACTGATTTCTGACGTATTTTCAACTTAAAGTTAACTTCTTTATATATTAAATATTCACACAGTAAACTTCTTTATATGTGCTAATCTAAAATAGGTGATTTCAATCTATGCAGTTAATGTGAACTTCTGCTTTACTTCGATTGTACATAATAGATATATGACACTTTTATCACCATGTTTTTTACAGCTTAGTACTTGTAATAAATATTAGTCAATATAAGACAGAATCAGGTTCATAGTAAATAAAAAAACGTTTTGGAACAAAATATGACAAGGATAATAATAGTTCCTTATGTATACATATACATACCCGGTAATGATCAGTTCAGGATATGGTTGATAGCTTAGACCCCATTCTCCACCAGTAATAGGCCATTCACGATTACTGAATACATCAGGTTCAGCACTTGTACCACTTTGAGTGCGATGTCGACGATTGCCGACAGAATAAAAAGCAGGTACTAAATCACCAGGACAATCTACCAAATATAAGCAACTAGTGACTGCAGAACTATGTAAATCCATTGGATATGGGTTTTCAAAAGTTGCATAGCTGGAAAGTATCATGAATGACAAAATAAATTCCCATTTTTCACATATTAAAAAAATGGGATAAAAAGAGAATAAATTTAAATATAAAGGTACTTAACTTACTTATTGGATAAAAGATCTACGATAACAAGATCTTCTTGTAACAGAATAGCCACTGCATAAGGATCCATTGTTTCTAGAATGGAAAAAACAGAGATAACTTGCACTAACTATTTGACCAGGGTGCAAATGATTATTTGCATTTTACATAAACCAAGCTACCACCTTTTTATAATGAGGCTGTTAGCTGACGTGGATTAAGGTGAGAAATGACTTGGAGATAGTCAAACAAAAACGAGTTTTCAATCTTCAAAGTCAATGACTGTTGACATGTTTTATTTGTCTAGCTACGGTACTGGTGATGCAAAGAACCAACAGTTAGAGAAATGTGTATAGACGTTCTTAAACTAAATTTACATATCCATTTTATTAATTCTAATATTACCTTCATGAAACTTAATATCAAAAGATAATACAAGCAAATCTACTGCACATTCAAAAAAATATGAACATACAGACGCTAAGTGTCTAAATAGAATTTTCGATATATTGAAACATGAAGTCCTCCACCTATTTCCAAATGAAACGATGAGTAAGACTACAATGCTATACCAAAAAGGTCGAACCATCACCTCAGTTGTACGGAATGAGTGCATATGAGAAGCGCATAGTACAATGCACAAAATTTGCAATGAAATATCGAAACAAAATGGAAGTATGTACAAAGTACATTTCCCCACACTTGCCTACACGCAATGGCAGCAATAATTAGTTTTCATCAAACCGATTGCTACTAGTCTGTTTACGATAAAATAACATGAAAAGGTCATGTAAATAACTAAGCTTTCATTAAAATTCAACATAAGCGGAAGGACAACTGGAAATCAGAAAGTACTGGCCAACTGCTTCGTCTATAGTTTGGCAGAACCTACGAATGTGAAACTTTTAATCTACGGGACGTGGAGACAAACTGTCAGGCGACACTTCGAGCAAGCGCCTAATGGTGTCCGGTATCTGAAAATGTATGATGAAATATCGGTGACTGGATTTCTTCTGTCTTCAAAGCTGTATAAGGGAACCTGACCAATCACGACCTTTCAATAAGACAAGTGGTCAATATTTTTGAGTATTCCTTCAACTGATGTAGCTTTGTGATAGAATCTATATTAAAATCGACAGCTTTATTTGAATTCCTAAGGAATATGGTCAGTAATGTCAACGAAGCAACACTGTGCTCTCTAGTGAATGTTACCTAAAAATGACTACATTTTGCATCACCTGATAAAATAATATGCAACAAAATATTTGAAACAGAATTGTGATTTCGTTAAATGCATAAAGAAAATATATTTAATTGTGAACCTGTGCAAAAGAAGTGCGGTATCACTTGTTCAAGTAAAGATGACTGCTACGGACCCTGAAATGAGAGCACCATTATGCATTAACTCAAAGGAAGAAGTTCTGTACACCCCGCTAGAAAGCTTTTACTAGAGTTCACTAAAGTTTTTCAGTTAGGTGACTAGAATACTGATAAATACAAATTTTATTGTTTTAAGTCGAAAACAGTGATTATAGTAATAATTATACTCTCCAAAATAAATACGTAAATTATAAAGAATTATCTGCTTACCACTTGGATAAGGAGATAAACAAAGAGGCGTAAACTGAATAAGTTTATGATCCAACTGAAGAACAACTAGTCTTTTGCCTCTTTTTATTGTTAACGTATGATAACTTGAAGATGTGTACTGGGATGAGAAAGTTGGGTCAATTTCAGATGGATCTGAGTTAACTGAAGACGTAGATGTAACATTTGTAGTAGTTACTGACGACTGGCCTATATTCCCAATTGTTTGAGCTCCCGGAGAACGTCCACCACCAGAAAAGATTATGAATGGTTCTCTTTAAGAAAGACGAGGAGAAAAAGCACCAGTTAGTGAATTTATTCTGACAGAAATAAAAATAAATAGAAATAAATATGTTGAAGGACAAATTCATTGATTCCCTTCTGTTTCTTTAATATTCTTACACTTATGAAATAAAATGAATGAAACTTCTTTTCACTTTATTTACTTACTGTTGAACCAGCTGACGATTCCATACAAGTATTTCAACCACTTTCGACTCCTACATACACTTCTTGTACTATAACGTAACTCAACTTTGTATTATACCGAGATAAAATGTTAGACACTATGTAACACAGTTACTTAATGCAAAATAACTATCGTTAAACTCGTCTTCACTTATGGTCTCATGATAGCAGATAATATTAAATGAAAGAGAAGCCTATTGACAAGACGTTTGCAACTCTGATGAATAGTATGAATATGGGCTTCCTTTAATATAAATTTTATTTACAAATAAATTGTTTATTTATGACAAATACAGAACATGTATGCTAAGCTTTCAGTAGAATACATAGAATTAATTAATTGTTAGCGGAATATGCAAGAAAATATTGTGTCAGTTTATTAAAATAGAGTCTGCAATTAAGCCTACTGTACAGCATGGTGTCATGCTGTACTACACAGATAGTTCGTGACAAATTGATGAAGGTGGCTGCTTTAATTGCTTTCCAACAAACGAACACAAACCGTTATATTGACTAAAAATAGCTTACCCTTCAAAAAAGCTAATTTAGGTTCGATGGATATATATAGATACATATAATTTTCTGATCAATACAACTAATAAAAATACTGTCACGATGTTCTCCGTTCTACATAACAGAATAATGTTTCCAGCGAAAACTTCATTCGCGAAATAACTTATATACGGTTAACGAACCCATGAATAACTGAAAAAGATTTAGTAAATGATTAGCTTTGCAGATGAGATGCTACGTTTGTAACCCTGAGTTCAGTTTAACTAACACCAACGAGTTTCATTGGTGTTTCTTCTATAAAATAAAAAGATCACTTCTCAATTTTCGTCTTGGTGATATGCAAAAAAAAACACCAATAATGGTCAAGGTACAAGAGAAGAAACAGCAAATAAATGAAAATAAAATGAAAACTGTTAAATACAGACTAACTGTGTACAAAAAATTGTTGAATACAGAGTTATGCAGATTGATAACACAAACAAATGATCACACAACATACTGACAATATATCCCATTTAGTGAAGAGAAAAAAACCACAAATCGAATCCCATATACACTGTCTAGGTTATGCCAACGGATTAAAGACAAGTATAAATCGTAGTAGTTATTAACTCACAACAGAAAATTTCCTAGTTTTATTTATCTCAAGGGATATCTTTCAGTGTAATCCACTCTCTTTCAGAAGCAAACTGAAATGATTTATAAAGGAAACAGACTGAAGAAATGCCTAAGAAAAAGAATACAAAGTATTCAGTATTAAGTGAAAGGTTTGTGAATGAACACTTAGTGTTTTTATACGGGATCATGCCTACTTGTACATAAATACATCTAATTTCAGGGAAAGATAGGCTAAGAGTTATCCGGACTATAAGTTACACATATACATCCATATACGCATATATGTATGCGTAAGCATGCATATAAATAAAAATTATAAGGCATTAACTTGTGTATTATAATGTCTGTCAGTATTTGCTCGGGTTACCAAGTCCAGGAAACAACACCAGTGATAACAAAACATACACGTTGAGCATAATCAACAACAGTGAAACAGTAGTACTAGACAGTTTACAAGTTTGTGAATGAAAAACAAAGAATGTAACAAAAAAAGGAAAGTATTATTTGATTATAGTAATGGATTTAACAGTTTTGCATTCTCTAAATCAGATATTCTTAATAATGATTAATGTGTTGATGATCTCTTCACTAGTCGTAAAACTCTTTTGAAACAACACCGTCTTCTACGTTTGCTTAGACTACTAACTTTCGGACCAAAAATTTTACTCCTACTCAATACGAGTTGAAGAGGTATTAATCTGAGACTAGGAATTATTTAATAACCACAAAGATCATCTAGGCCATTTTATTTACTACACATAAACATACAACCGTGATTAAACAGAATTTCATTTTATGACTTTGTTGAACAATTTCTCACATGAATGAAATACACAGAAAAAACTAAAATAAAAGCAAATAAAATAAAAGCAAAGTTGCTATAACTGGTGAATAGTAATCACCATAAAAATGGAATTACTGTAGGTGAATAATTATGGACAAGGTGTTGCATCATAATATTTAACGAACGAACAGTCTTCGGAATGAGTATGGAGACAATAAAGTGCTAATGTTAATTAAGAATTACATAGAATGAGAGAGGGAAAATCTCCTAATAAAATGATAACATTAGGACTATGAAAGCAGTCAGATGTTTGCTGTTTCCTTCAGTATCCTAACAGGGATTTTTCACGAATAATCAGAAAGTTTAGACGATAGATTGTTTATAAAAAGAACAAAATTTATCAATAACTTGCTTTTTGATCAGAAAACTTTTCGATAAAACGAAAATAAAATAAGCCCTCAAGTGAACAAGACGCAAAGAGAGGTAAAAAAAAGCAAAATAAACACCACCGAATATCTATAGGTAGAGAGTAGCGAACACAAACAAATCGCTTTATCTAAATGAACAACACCAACTACAATCAACAAAACTAGCTGCATAAGCGACTTTATTTGAAACAGAGAAGTACACTTTACGAAGAAGTGATCAAAATTACTTGATAACTGGACTGAAAGTAAATCTACGACATAGAACCAACAATATCTATTAATAACAGAGAAATTGCTGCGATGTATTTTAGTGAACAGAGTAGAAATCAGAGTCCAGTTGAACGCCACCATATATTCTGCCATTATAGTAATGTGTGCAGGGGCGTCGGTGGTTCGCTGGTAGAATGTTCACTAACCACTTAAGTGGTCCAGGTTCGATTTCCAGCCAATGCACTCCTAGGCCCTACTTATCCGGGAGCAAGTGCGGTAGACAGGGAAGGTTAGGCATGACACTAACATCTCCATCCTGTGAAAAGAGAATAACACCACTCCATCAGCGCTCAAGCTTAAAACCACATACTATGTATGACTCGGGACGCAAAGGAATGAAATAAATAAAATATGCATGCGAACAACTGCGGATATGACTCATTATTTATAAAATGAAGACATTTTTAAGGGAATACAACTGAGCAACCTGTATCCTATGCAAAGTAGTAATATATAGGTATGTATATACAGTTTTCATACTAAAACCTGAGCCGAAGATGTTGTCTAGATTGACAGTGAAAGCTTCGGTATTTAATGAACCAGCTCAGAGAACACAACTAAATCTAAATATATACAGTCTCAATTGTATAGACCTAAAAGAAAATCACCCACAACTATAAAACCATATTTTTTCTATTCCCTTACGTTCCCAGTGAAAAATAGGGCTTCAAGCTAGAGCTTTAAAGTTTCGGCAACAGTTGTATTTATTCTTACGTGATGAGGTTGCTAACCCCATGCTTAACCTTTCCTCTTCACAAGTCTCATTACTGGAATGGCAAGGTAAAGGAGTGCGTCGGTCGGGGACTGAATCCCAAACCGCCTGCGTGATTGGCGGGCATTCTACCACTGCGCCGCCAACGCTATAAAACCATAGGTGACATACAATATAAAAATGGAGTAGAGCGACAAAGATAAGCCTCACAAAGTAATTCTAATACATTATTTTCTCTTGAATGACAATGAGATGCTCACTGGCGACTGGCCCTATTCAGGTAGGTAGTTACCTGGGGTTCCAGTGGGAAGTCGTGACCAGTAGGGTGCAGCAGGTCGGGTGTGAAGACAAATACTCGACGAAGACATTGGCTAGCGGTTGCGTTATATCGTGAATTGGCAGAAGTTAGAATTCATGGGCCATTGGATCGGGTCCCGGTGGCTTAATGGTCTACGAGCTAGCTCGCCTTGTAACCAGAAGGTCCTGGGTTCGAACCCCGGTGGGTGCGTACTGTGAAGAGTCCCAAACTAGGACGGAACAGCTGTCAAGTACTCTCAGGTTTTCCAATGGTTCTCTAACCAATGTCAGCTCATGATGAAATCCTGTAACCAATCAGCCAAATCCCTACAAATCAATACTTGAATAACATTATTTTCTTTTGAGAATTTATGGATATGCTATTTGCCTAGGAAGAAAACTGCAACACCACAAACAAATCAAGTAGCCCAACGAATATGCAATGACGAACAGTACTTTGCTATTTACCAAATTAACATATCTAAGCAACAGAAAAGCATATGCTGTCACTAGGCTGTTATTGCAGCCACTCTACTCTAATGTTTATTATTATCCATCATTGAGTATTTACACAGAGTAAATATATTCCCATGAATAGAGCGAAAAAATAATCAAATAATCAAATTGAAAATTACTGAAGGGAAAATTTGTGTCCACTAAAATTATTAATCAACTGAGTATGAAAGGCATGAAGGAAACTGTGAAGGCAGTGATTGAAAATATTCATTCACAAAATCATTCAATATTAGCGCAATGACAGATTATTTATTCAAGCCTAAAGTTTTCCTGCACTAGAAAACTATACATTCACATTTAAAATGATATATTCTAGAATCTATGGAAATAATTTATCACTACGGTTATATAAAGTGTGTTATACTACTCGTGTATAGAATAATGGTTGGTCAATTTATGGTATACCTTCTTGGTTGATTCTAGTTACTGATAACATCAAGTAATGATAGATGCAAAGAATATGTGTACTTTTGCAAACGATTATTGCATCTTCATATCTTTCTTAAATCTAATTCGACATATACGTTATTATAATGGACGCTAAATATTTACAAACTCACCTAAACTATTGCAAAGCCACAATTTTAGAGTGTTTACTTCGGAAAATAAAGTCGAATGTTAAACGGCAATACTGAACAGGAACTGTTTTTTATAAAACAATCTGTACTA